AGCAGCAGGGACCCTGCCAGATCTGTCAGCCTCCTTGGTGGTCCTCATGTGGCTCCAGGGCACACAGGAGGACACTTGTTTTTGATGCACAGCTTGGGGCAAGGAAACCCTGGGTCAGATGAGAACTGGGCAGGCGCAGTGCTCAGCAGAGGGGAGAGCTTAGGTGCAGCCCCAGGGCGAGCTGAGTGAGGGCAACGCGGGTAGCAACCCCCGCAGAGCACATTCGGGCCCTTAACTCTTCCCTACATCCAGTTTTTAGAGCAATTTAGTAGAATTACTTCAGATTTTTTTCCTACTTTTGCTTTCTAAATTACAGTTTATATAACCAAGGTCTGTTATAGTAAGTTATGCCTCCTACTTGTGAGAAGCCAGAGAAAAAGTGCACACCCACAGAATCTAGCCTTTGATTCAGGATTTACCTTCAGAAGCCCCACTCCTTTAAAAAGCAAAAGCTTTTAAGAGACCAATGATAATAATGAGAGCTAACATTTATGAAGTGCTTACCCAGTGCTGGACACTGTTCTGAGTGCTTTATAATAACGCCTTTTATTCTCCCAACAAGCCTACAGAGGGGTACCTTTATTGTCCCCACTTTACACGTAAGCAAACTGAAGCACAAAAAAAAGTCACACCATATTTTGCCATGTATAATACACATTTTACCCAAGTTTTGGAGGGAAAAATAAGGATGCACATTATACATGGGTATAATGATTACCTACCATGGGTTAATAATCCCATGTGTAATGCACACAAAAATGTGGTTGTGCGTTATACACGGCAAAATACGGTAACTTAACCTAGGGCCTGTACTACGGCAAGCTGACTTCAGAGCCCATGCACATAATGACCAAACAGTCTACTCACTCGTTGGCTTTCCCTGGGTGAGTCATGTCGATCATTAATTATAGGGTACAAAATCGGCAGGAAAGCAAGTGAAACGACTATTACAGTTGTTCAGGGACAAAATGACGAGGGCCTCAGCTGGGACATGACAGGGACAGGGAATTGCTGTGGACAGAGGTAAGAGCTGTTAAGGACATCAAAACCAGCAACTTAATGAAAGGGAGAAGGGTAGATTTTTACACCAGGCGATCGATGGCCTGGAACTTAATAGCGAGGAATGAGCTGAAGACACATCTCAGACACACACACATCCATGTGGGAATGCAGTGGCCAAGGAACGAACCATTTCCGCTGGAGTGGGCTTCCTCCAAAGGGGTCTTTGGACCAGCCCCTGGAGAATGGAAAGGTTCTAAGAAGTGGGTATGTGAGGCCAGAAGAAGAGAGAGGTGGCATGGATGTCAGTGTGCTGAGGAGCGTACCAGGGAGGAAGCGGGGAGTGAGGGAGCAGGTGTGGGTGTGGCCGTGGATGGGAGTGGGAGTGGGAAGGTTGGAGGGAAAAGCAGCAGCAAACTTGGGAATGATTTGCGATGACTTTTTCTTCCTAAGTCTGATTAAAGAAGGAAAATCTCTCATGTAAATTGCAGATGAATGTTCAAAGTTGCTACTCCTTCTCCAAAGTAGCCTTAAAACCAACGGAACAGGAAGACGTGTGCGTTAAACCCTCTTTAATATCCTACTGGAACAGTCCTCGTACAGACCTCGTTCCTGGATACCTGAGCCACCAGGAGACGTCTCTCACTTGTAGGTTAGCAAAGGCAATATTCAAAGGGACTGAGGTCAGGTGGTGAGGGGCCCAGTCCTGGTTAAGAATGAAGCAGCAGCCAGACAGCCTTTGTGTGTACAGGGACCTCTGTCCAGTGGGGCTGCCAGATGAGGACACCCCTGGGAGCACTCTGCTGGGGAAAGACACTTTCACCCTGGCTGGTGTGGCTCAGTGGATTGAGCACTGGCCTTCAAACCGAAAGGTCACTGGTTTGATTCCTAGTCAGGGCACATGTCTGGGTTGTGGGCCAGGTCCCCAGTTGGGGGTGTGTGAGAGGCAACTGACTGATGTTTCTCTCACACATCGATGTTTCTTGCCACCTCTTTCTCCCTCCATTCCTCTATCTCTGAAAATAAATAAATACAATCTTTTTTAAAAAGAAAGAAAGACATTTACTTGGTGTCTTCTTTCTACGTGGGCCTCCTCTGGTCTTGAGGTTGGTGGGTTGGAGATTATCACGGTGCAGGTGGGGCTGTGGGCCGGTATAGTAGCGCGGATTACTTCCTGCGATGCTTGTAACCACGCCGCTGTTGCCTGGTGTTTGCTTCGTGGGCATGGAGTGGAGAAGAGTGGGAGTGAGTCTGAGCATTATATTTAGAAGTAGGCTATAGTTCCTCCTGAGCATCACAAAGTTGCCGAAAGAGAGCTTAACAGGATTATTTGCTCTCCCGTTGTTAGTGATACATGATTACCATAAAACCTTTGGAAAGTATAAAGGGAAGAAATACAAGCACCCATAACCTGCCAATTATTGTTAACATTCAGACACATTTTTGCTTATCTTTTCTTACATATAATCTCTTTTGTTTTGCATAGTTCTAATTAAGTCAGATATACAATTATTTATCTAGCTTTTCTGATCTAATATAATATAAACATTTGGTCCATTAAAACTATGAGCTTCCATTTTGTGTATCAACCAAAACCCTCCCACCAGACTGTAGCTGGAGAGGCAGCAGCCTGGGGCGGGAGGCTGTAGGATGGTTGGATCCCGACAGCCCACACCTGGAACCCGGTGCAAAGAAATGAGCCCTGAGGGTAGGGTGAGGCCGGGCCCCTCCCACGGCAGCGGAAGCAAGGGCTTGGGCTGCTCATCTCTTCATACTGAGAAGGGAGAACCTGAGTAAGGTGCCGGTTCCCATCCAGGCCTGACAGGCTCCCAAGTGACTCAAACTCATTTAGTGACTCTCACTGTCTATTTATGGCCTCTACATGGTACGTAATCAATCACACGGTAGAAATTATAAGTAGCTCGCAGGCTGCGGGTTTAGGATTTTTTTAGCATATAAGTTAGTTAGTTATAGGGAGGATTCTGTGATCCGAGGATGGAAATAGAATCTGGGAAGGTGCTTTTTCACAGAGCCATTTACTGCCCAACCTGGGTATTATCTGCTCAGTGTCTCTGAGATGTGAACAAATAGCTCGTTCTGCAGAGAAAGATGCTATTGGCCAGGAAAGCAAGAGGGTATTTTTTCTCCTCTGACTAAATGATTTGTCTGTGGCACAAAAACTAAAACACCCCGTGTAACAACAAAACAGTTTAGCCAATCACATGTACTAAATGAGAGCATATTACAGTAGTTTTCTCTCCACTGGGCCTGGTCCCTCCTCTCCTCAATCTGACCCAAGTTGTTTCAAGACTGCCTTCATCATGGCACGTGGAGAAAGTACCCAGCCTTGGAAACAGGCCCACTGGGTTTGCATCCCGGCACACACAGTTACTGGTTGTATTTTCTCAGCGGTGATGGGGAAGCAGTAACACCTGTCTCCTCAGGTAGCTGTAAGGATTGCATGAAATGGGGGTTGTCAAGTGCTGGAATTCAGAGGGCTGGCCCTCAGTAAACAGTGGTCACAGTCACTTCCCACCACTGCTGCTGGGACCGCCTCTGTGTCTGGCGGTCCCGGTGGCCTGGCCTGGCATGTGGGACCTGAAATGGTACCCCAGGGCCTGCACCCAGAGATACACCAGGCAGATGAAACAGCCAGCTTTTTCTCAGATTTATGGTTCTAAAGCACATCTTTAGTGAATAATGGTCTTAAATTCACACTTCCTGGGCCATTTGCCCTAACGCAGGCTAGAAACCATCCGTGCCTGGGGAGTTGCTGGCAAAACAGCTTTTCCAATCTTTTTCAGAATTTCTACCTGAATGCATTTGCTTTGCTAGAATACCTACCCCAAGACTTTCAGCAAAGGTTTTGCGATCTCTTGAGAGGGAAGGTGCTATACAAATCACTCAAGTGTTCAAAAAATAGAAATTGTGCCAGAATTGCTTTTTGGGAGAGATAAACTCCAGCAATTATCACGGGGACTCAAATCATTTTTCCTAATTGGTGATTTTCCCATTAACCCGAAGCGTGGTCCTTTGCCTGTGGCCTCTTCTCTGACGCACCCAGAAATGGCATGTGGTGGGACCGCCCTGGCCGCGTTCCCAGGCGGAATGCTCCTCCCTCTCCAAGTCCTCAGTTTCCTCCCCCCAGGTGTTTTTCATCCATAGTACTCTTTGCCTTCTATTTCGGACTTGTGGGGGCTTGTCTTGTACCCTGGATGACAGAAGGCTCCATCACTCCCCCTGGAGCTTTAGTCCAGGCCAGGGAATGAGTCCCTGGCACAACACTGCCCTGGGTCCCGTGAAAATGCTCTTAGCCCTGGCCAGGCCCGCTCAGGCCAGAGCACACCTTCTCTGCCCCACATTTCCTGCCGTTTGGGTTTTAAGCGAAGCTTTCAGCCCTGAGCTCTGTGAGTCTGGGCTCCTGTTAGTTTCTTGACAAATGTCGGAGATGAGGAAGGGGGCTCCTTTGTGCCCTTCCACATCTTATTTCTTAACCCATGAAATTGGTCATTTCCATGGTGAGCAGGGAGCATCTAAGAACCTAGTGTCAAAGTGCTGTTGGTACCCTTACTAGAGAACTGCTTCTCAGAGAGTGTCAAGTGTGATTTGTGCCTGAGAGGATCTTTGTTTTGAAGCAGTGCTGAGCGCAGGGTCAGAGACTGTCCCTGCTGGGTTCAGGAATGCAGATGGTGCCTGACCCTACGGAGGGGTCACTTACTGAGCCAGCAGCCCCCACTGGGCTGAGGCCAGAGGAATTCTGTCCAGCCAGCAGGACTGGCCTCCATCGACCAGCTGGCCTTCTGGGATTTCCATGTTGAATAACAACAGTCCTTCAGAGCAACTTCCTGGGGCCCCTCTCTTCTTGTCCGGAGCAGGTCTCCCGGTACCAGGGCCGGAGTGGCGGTGGAGGGTAGTGGGCTGCACATTCACGTTTTCGCACCGCGTGGCAACTGTGAGGACGTGCTGCAGTTGGCCACAGTGTGCTGTGTTTCTCTTCCCAGCATCCCAGTGTAACGTCAGCTTAAAGAAGCAGAGGAGCCGCAGCATCCTCAGCTCTTTCTTCTGCTGCTTCCGCGACTATAATGTGGAGGTCCCGCCAGCCAGCAGCCCCAGTGTGCTTCCGCCACTGGTGGAGGAGAACGGCGGCCTACAGAAGGTCAGTTCTGGTGGGGACCTGCGCACTCAGCAAAACTGCAGCAGCTGCACATCCGTCACATTCTGGACTAATGTCCTTAATAAATAGAGCCTATGACAGTATGTGTGCAGCCATTTACTTAAGGATTTGAAATTACCAGTAAAGTCATCTTTCTTGTTAAAGGATATCAGCCATTCCCGTGTAGCAACTACAGGTCATATTTGATGAGAGTTGTAAGAGTTACTTCACATTTTTACAACAATCTTGGCAAGTTGAATGTATGAATAGAGAGTTAACCATTAGCAGACCAAGAAATGGAAAGACAAAAGGGGAAACAGAGCTGTGGGAAAGAGCCAATAATAAATAGAAATGGATTTAACTGTCTTGTTTATTGACGAACATTTGTTATACTTTTATAGGTATCAGATAAAAATGTTAAGACAATGGTCACAACAGGTGGAAAAGAATAAACAAATTCTACCTACATGCTGTCTACAGACATATTTGAAACAAAGTAACTCAGAACAGTTCAAAGCACAAGGATGAGCAAAAAGACATCTCACAAGTATAAGCAAAAAGAAAATGGGTTACAATATTAATTCAGTCAAAATAGAAGTTCAGGTAGAAATCACTGAAAGAGGCAAAGGGGATTATTCACTATGAAGGCAGTCGAGATTGAGGACACAAAAGTCCTAAGTCTTTATGTCCCAAACAAAATGAGCGAAGGTCATGAACAGGCATTTCACAAAAGAAAGAATACAGTGGGTCACTAAACATAAAAATTTGCTCAACGCAAATATAAGCTAAATGAAATCCTTTCCCATTATCAAATTATCAAAGGTAGTATTTGGGTATGGTGTGGTGGTCGTGAGAGGGAGGGTAGAGGGTATAAATTGGTTATTTGTAGGAATGTTCATTGGTTATACCTTTCTGGAGGAGAATTTGGGATCTGATCTTAAAACCTTAAAAGATATGCCTATTCATTTCCCGAAGCAGTTCCACCTTACTAACATAATCGTGGATGTGTAAAGATGTAGCAATAAGCCCCGGCTGGTGTGGCTAAGTGGATTGAGTGCTGGCCTGCAAACCAAAGGGTCACCAGTTCAATTCCCAGTCAGGGCACATGCCTGGGTTATGGGCCAGGTCCCCAGTAGGGGGCACACAAGAAGCAACTGCACGTTGATGTTTCTCTCCCTCTCTCCTTCCGTTCCCCTCTCTCTAAAAATAAATAAAGTCTTTTAAAAATATATTTTAAAAAAGATGTAACAATAAAATATGATCCAGAATACATTATAATGTTGCAAAATTATAAGCAACCTAATGATGAACAAATAGACAGTAAAAGACCTACAGAGTAACCATACACTATGCAGCTGTTAAAAATTATGTCTCATAAATATTACTAATATAGGGAAATGTTCACAGTATATCACTTTAAAGAAAAAAGCTAAAATATAGTAGGTGACTATATTCATAATTCTGTATGTAGTCATATACACACACACAAGCATTTGTAACACTAGGTTGATGCCCTGGCTGGTGTGGCTCAGTGGAATGAGTGCCAGCCTGTGAACCAAAAAGTCACTGGTTCAGTTCCCAGTCAGGACACATGCCTGGGTTGTGGGCCAGATCCCCAGTTGGGGGCGTGTGAGAAGCAACTGATTGATATATCTCTCACACATTGCTGTTTCTCTCCCTCTCCTTCCTCCTCCTTTCCCTTCTCTCTAAAAAGTAAATAAATAAAAATCTTTCTTTAAAGAAAAGACTAGAATGATGTATGCCAAAATATGAAGAACTTATCTCAGGCTGGTGGGATTCTATGTACGATTTTCTCCCCTGTGTTTTTTTTCTTTCTCCTTTTTTTTTCTTTTTCCAATTTTCACGGAATAAGTTTAAATTACTTTTGTGGTTAGAAAATACATTATTTGGAAAGGATATATGAGTATAAGGAAGGAGATTCTGGGAAGATGAAGGCCTGAGCACATGGCCCAGCCCATTTAAACTCCCTCTTTGAATGAACCCAGGCGGGCCTACAATACAGCTGGGAAGTGCATTAAGGCCTCCAGCTTTCCTGACACCTCCAGGGGAAAGAGCGGACACAGGAGTCATTCTCTCTAGTCCTTAGTGAGAAGCAGGGACCCCCAGCAGAGGGAACTGCTTGCCTCAATGGAGCCCTAGAACAAAGGCATAAAAGGTATAGTCCTTCGAGGTCAGCCAGCCAGCAGCAGCCTGTGGGCCGACCTGAAGTGTGTAGTCCTTGGAGCGGCCTTACTGGGGAGCTGAATTGCTCTCCGTTCTCGTGCCCTGGACGAGCCCCATAGTACCAGGACTTTCTTCATCTCTCTGTGGTCTGTCAGTTTGGGCTCTGCTGGACCATGAAAACATCACTCCCCACTGGGCCTTGCAGTGCTTACTCATTCAGTCCAAGTCGAAAAATGAGAATATCAGACTCTGACTGAGGTAAGACTAATAGAAGAGGTAGATGAGAACTTTAACAGGCAACTCAGGAAATGATATTTCAGGGACTGAATTTTAAATATGAAAGTAACTTTTAGAACTCAAAAAGTATCCCATGATGTCTAAATATAAAAATTCAGAGAACAAACTGAGAAAAAGGAGAATGAGAATGGTCACTGAGGAGGCCTGAACTAATGTTCTAGAAGAGCAACTGGAAGAAATATCTTACAATTTGGACCAGGAACAGGGAGATGGCAAGAGGGTGAGGGTGAGGGGGACATCCAGGAGACCTAGCGTGCAAGTAATAGGAGTGCCAGAAAGAGAAAAAGTAATAGAAGACATTTTTCTTGTGCTGAAAAAACTTGAATTTACAGATTGAAAGGGTACCAAATCTACATCAGGATTAATAGGGGCAAGCAAGGGACCACAGGCCTAGATATATGCTTATTACATTGTAATGCTTATTACATTGTGAAATTTAGGTATAAAGAAAAATCTTACAAGCTACCAGAACAAGTTATTATTTATAATTATTATTATATTTATTATTATTATTATCATTATTATTATTATTATTATTATTATACTAGACTTTCATCAGCAACACTGAAAGCCAAAAGGCTATGAAAAAATGTTTGTAGGCCACTGAGAGAAAAGAATTACAAACCAAAAACTCTATATGTGATCAAGGTAACATTTATCTGTTAAGGAAAAAAGATGTACATTTTCAGATGTACAGTGATTCAGAGAAGGGGGCAAAAGAAATATGGGTGAGATTGATATTCAGTTACAATATAATTATAGAAAATGTAGAAATAAACATAACAGTAGTAAAACTATATATAACAAGTAGTACAATAAGAAAATAGATCCTCAAAATTAACAGAGAGTGAAAGGGGAAATAAACAGAAATGTGAACAAGCCATAAAAATTAAGGAAAAAGAAAAAGAACAAGCAATAAAGAGTAAACCTAACATAAAGAGTAGGCATAAAACCAAGTTTAATAAGCCAAGTTTGATAAACCAAATTCTCCTAACAAAAGTCCAAGACTGTGTGCCTTGAAAAATTCAGCTGTGTGTGTTTCCAAGAATATACCTATATCAGATAGGAATGATTTTGGCAGCAAGTAAAAGAAAACGGACAAATATCAATAATAGCTTAAACAAATAGGGAACTATTTTTGTCAGATAAAAAGCCTGAGACTGGTCAGTGCTGGGGTTAGTTCAGGTGCCTGAGGATACCATCAGGCACCCAGACTCTTTCTGTTCCTTTGTCTTTTCATCTTTCTGCTCCACCATCCTTGGCGTGTTTGCCTTCATCCTCATGCTCGTTGTCTATTATCTCAAAGTCACAAGCTTCAACCATCATAGCCACATTGAAGGGAAAAACAGAGGGAGGAGTCGTCTAGCCATGTCTGCCCCTTTTATGGAAGGTAATGGCTTTTACAGAAAACGCCAGGAGACTTCTGCTTATGTCTGATTGGCCAGAACTTGGTCACATGGCTTCCCTGCAGCAGCAAGGGAGGCCCCAAAGGGGAAAAATTTAGACCAGCAAAAAAAATTAGAAAACAAAACTGGAGCTCTTTTCACAAAAGAGAAAAGAGGAGTGACTACTCAGTGAATGTACTTACTAGTCAGTGGTGGTTCAGTTACGCCACATCAGTAACATCCCCCCAAACCCCGAAGCTTAAAATGATAAAAAAATTATTTTTCACTCACACTGCATGTTTATCATGGGTGGGCTGGACCTTCCGCTCTGTGGCACAGTTCAATAGAAATATACTGGGAGCCGCAGATGAGTTAAATTTTTCTAGTAGCCCCATTTTTATATATTTTAAGATAAATTAATTTTAGTAATATATTTTATTTAACATAATATGTCCGAAATATTATTTTTACATGTACTCAGTAGAAAAAATTGTAAATGAGATAAAATTTACATTCCTTTTTATCTCATAATTCTCCGAAATCTGGTGTGTTTTACATTTATAGTGCATCTGAATTCGGCCACATTTTACATGCTCAGTAGCCTCATGTGACTAATAACCATCACTGTTGGATTGTATACCTCCTTCGTATCCTCATTCATTCATGGACCTAGGTGAAGGAAGGCCCCATGTTTGTCACAGCAAGAAAAAGGGAACGTGGGACTCACACTGGCCCCTGAAGTTTTCACTCAGAAGTAACGTGCCTCCTTGCTGTGGGTCAACCCCTAGACTAAGACACAATAACGTGGCAGCTAAGAATGTGGGGCTTAGCTTGTGTCCTGACCATAGCAGTTTCTACTCCCATGACCATAAACCAATTACTTTAACTATATAATGAGATCTAATAAATGTTTGTTATACCACTACTTTAAAAAAAGAAGTAACATGCCTTGTTTCAGCTTGCATTTTATTGACCGAGGCAATTCAAGGGCCATAAAAACGTAACCCTACCTTGTGCCCACAAAGAAGGCTGGAATTCTTTGATGAACTGTGCTAATGACTGTTACAGTAGGTGGCTAATAGTTTCCAACCCAGTATCTAACATGCCGTGATTTTTTAAGGCGGAAAATAAAAAGATGGGCAAAATGTACAGAGCAGATCAAATAAAAAGCAAAAGTGGCAATATTCATATTAGCCAAAATTTAAGACCAAATTTAAGGCCAAAAGCATTAAACACAGAAAAAGGGACATTTTATAATGATAAAGGGTCTCATATGTAAAGTATATAATAGCCATAAACCTTTATATACCAATGCATGATACAGCCAAATAACTAAAAGAAAAGTATTTAAACATGATAAAAAGCTATTTTCTAAAAATAAACAGTAAACAGCATAGGAAAATCATTGGCAGTTTCTGGCCCATATAATAAGAAAATAAAACAATTGGTACACATATGGAAAAGATGCAAAATCAGTTATATTTGCAGATGACATGATTACTTATCATAGAAAACCCAAAAACACTACCAAAAATTAGCATTATTAAAAAGTTCCAAGATGGTAGCTCTTTCTTATTTATGAAGAAACATGCTATGTTTCTAGATAGGGAGACTTCACATTTATGCAGAAGAAAAATGTGTAAGAATAGCTGAGAAATTTCAGGGGGGAGTAACAAGAGACGAATTGCCATAATGGATACTGAACCTTACTCTTCGCTGGTGGAGAAAAATATGTCAGTGAGATTAGTGTGAGGACACTCCACTGTAAACGGTATCATAGCCCCAGATTCTGATATGACCCCTCAGTGTGCTCATAATCCCTGCCCCGCCCCCCATTTAAAACTCTTTGCTGCAGAAAATCGCCATTCTTGAAGGGAGCACAGTTCGTGCCCTGGGCCTGCAGAGAATAAAGAAAGAGAAGAACCACTGCTGTCACAGTAAAAGTTACTTTACAGTCATTTCTGCACAGATGCAATGACCTGGGGAAATGGAGGCGCACCCACCGACGGTTCCCTAGAGGAGTTAGCTGTTGTGTCTGCGAGGAAAGGCCTCCAAAAGCAGTTCTCTGGCAGAGCTGAGCTCCTCCGGATTTCGTGTTCATTCATGGACTTCCTTCAGTTAACATCATCAAAATGGCATTTTGAAGAATGAAGTACAGGAACTCTGAGTAACACATTATTTGCATAACACTTGACTGTATTCAGTCTGGGAGACCAGACCCCATAGAAAGAGCCCGTGTCTATGTGGACCAGCGAGTTCCCAGAGGAGGAACTCCTTCTGCCCTTTGCTCTCAGCTCGGTCGGGACACCTGGGACACCAGCCCAGGCCCATTAGATGGAGAAGCAGATTCTAGGCCTTGCTCTTCCGCTGACTCCTCAGCTCTCCCTGCTTCTAGGAACGCAGCATGTCAGAGGAGGGGGGAAGGCTGTGGGCAGAATGCAGCAGATGGCCTCTGGGCTGGCAGCCCTTGCCACCGTCCTGACACACCCTGGACCTGCAGGCCAGTGGCCCAGAGTAAGTGTCTGCAGACAGTGGCAAGAGGCTAGAACATGTCAGCACCTAGAAGGCCCCAGTGGCAGAGACACAGGAGGACTTCTAAGGATGAGGACAAAGTAAACGGGGTTTCTGGACACTCACTAGTACATGTATGCTGTACACACACACACACACACACACACACACACACACTTACACGTAACCTCTAGGGGAATTTTCAAGCCCAAATACCTGTCTAGCATTGCACCATCGGTCATTGTCTGTGTTTGTCAAGCCCTGCGGGTGTTATCGTTGTCTCTCTCGTCACTGACGTGCTCATCTCCTTGAAGGTGTACGTGTTGGGGGGTGCGTTTTGTGCGGTCTCCCAATAGCACAGTGCTCCCAACTGGAGGCTATGTTGCCCCCTAGGAAACAATGTTGGGGACATTTTTGATTGTCACTACTAGAGGATCTACGGGGTAGAGGCCAGGGATGCTGTCAAACATCCCACAATATCCAAGACAGCCCCCCATGGCAAAGAGTCATCAGATCCAGAATATCAGTAATGTTGGGCTTGAGAAACCCGACTCCACAGTGACTGAGTTTGTGAGGCTTTGTGAGCTCCTGGTTAAAATCTCCCCCACCAAGAGCAGCGACCTGCTCCCGGGTCCCGAGGCTGGGAATAATACTATTTCAGAGCTTCAGAAATGAACTTCTCTGTGTATGTTTTTGAAAACTGGCATTGGATTTGAAAGCACCAACGTGTTGAAGAGGAGCCCAGCTCTACCTTGAATAATGGCAAAAGGCAGTGTAGAATCCTTAAGGCGAGTCCCCGGTGTCCTGGAAATGTCAAGAGCCATCAAGACAATCTCAAGAGGAAAGAGTATGTTGCCGTCACACTGCAGAGGTGAAGACCAGGTCTGGGGACAACCAGGAAGGTGCTAAATGGCTCTGAGAGTCAGAGCAGAGCTCAGGAAGGTGCAGCCACCTGCCACTTTGGACAATCAGGTTTGGCCCCTTTCTAGGAGACCCCTGTCACCTGACCTCCCGTGATAAAAGATGGTTACACTTCCACAAGTTGCTCAGCGTGGGAGACTGTGAGAGCACCCCTTTACCAGGAACCATCGTGCTGCTGTCTTGCCCCCCATCCCACCATCTAAAAAAGAAAAAGAAGCACAAAAAGTGGAAATGCTCAGTGGAGATAAATGTGTGTTTTTATGAGCATTTTTTAGTGATGCTGAAATGAAGCACGTCCCTCAGCCACATGAATGGCCAGCGTTCACCGCTGAGGAAGGGTTTGAGGTTCTTCCGTGGGACCTGAATTGTCTTGACAGTCCCTGTGATTACAGGTTCCAATCCCCTTAACGAGAAAGCTGTCCTGTGTCTGTGGCCTTGGAGGGCACTTCTTGTACCTTGCCTTGTCCCCTCTGCCCAGTCCTCCCTAGACGAGGACCAGTAAAGACCAGTCAGGGTGTTCCTCATAATCTGATGAACTTGTCTTCCTTTCCCTGCCTGTAGTATAGACTTAAGGCTTAGTCTTCTCAGGGAAAAACTTGCTTAAAAGAGCAAACAAGCCACTTACTAGAAGGAGCCATGGATCAAAGTAAAGTATGAGTTTTCATTTTTAATTTCCAATTAAGGTTTGAATTTCTGGGAGTAAGGGAGGCATGATTCGCATAAGCAAGATGGTTAGTGAGCCTCAGGAGCCCAGCCTGGTTTGTCAGGGGCGGGGTGTCTGGGAAGAGAGTGGCGCCCCCCCAACTGTGGGAAATCCTCGGGCGCTTCCTGTCCATTTACGCCACCAGGGTACAGAGGACCAGAAATTGAATGCCTGGTCTACACTCTGGAGTGCTTGGAAATTTCTTTTGAGTGTATGTTCACTTCTCTTTGAACCTGACAATGACTTTTTTTTCTTTTTCCTCAGGGTGACCAGAGGCAGGTCATTCCCATACCAAGTGTATGTATATTTATTCAATTTTATTTAAACATTCGTAGAGTCTTGCAGCTCTGGGCTACTAATATAAAAGATTGTTTTCAATGTTCTTGCTTATGTTGCATTTTATCACATGGTATAAATAGCTCTGTTCTGTTAAAAAGAAAAATGAGGCTACATTTTAAACTGTAAGCAGGAAGTTCTTTACAGAGAGTTTCCTTCTTCAGTGTCTCCCGGGCAAATTCTCACTTTTCCTTTCCGTCTGCCCTCCAGGGCTGAACAGGCTGAGGCAGCTTGCTGCACCCCAGCTCAGCACGGCAGACCCGGCCCCCTGGGGGAACACACTCTTCCCAGACATGGTTCTTTGCTGCAGGTGCTGTCCCAGATGAGCAGACAGACCATTTCTGACTTGTGCACCAGTGTCAGGAGCTTGGCCATAGCTCTGAGATCGGATGATCACTTCTGAACTCATAGGACCCACCCTGACTTTCACAGACGGTGGTATTGTAACTCTGCCCCAGCTGGGCTTTCCTCGGACCACCCACTTCTGTCTTCAGCCCTGGGATTTGCGAGAATAGCCGTACCCGTGTTTGACCACAGCACAGGCCTGGACCAGCCACCTCTCAGACCTCCGCTGTCCCCACTGCTCCTTCGCTTCCTCCCGCTCGGCCCACTAAGCCATTTGGGCTGAGGCCATTCCAGGGACCAGCTCCCACGAGAAACTTGCTTTTGAGATGCCCATAACCACAAGACCTTTCTAGCAGTCCTCTGACCTTAGAGAAGGCTTTAGGTCTTAAGAGATGTCCATACATTGATATTTCAATCCAAAAGATCCTCTTACTCAAATTATCTGATTCAAACCTGTTCTCTCTTTTTCCTTGGACTTTTTCACCTATTTTCTGGGAACAACCAAAAGACACAGCTATCCTGCATTTGAAAGGAATGGATTACGTTAGTACAGGTTGACTTCAAACTTGGTAATGCTGGTCACTTTTCAACTGCCCAGAATGTTTCTGATAGTGTCATTTTTCTCAGAACTTTAACTCCCCATTTACTAACAAGTTGCAAGGGTTTGTGGAGTGATTCCGACTTAGCAGCACAGCTCGGGGTGGTGGGCTTTGTTGAGAGAACTGACTGACGCAAAAGGTAGGCAGGCAGTATGGTCTCTTACCCAGTGTTTGAGTGGGATTCATATCTGTTCATCTACCTCTCCTGTTTTTTTCACAAATTATCAGTCCCCAGTGGGGTTGTAACCGGACGTCTCTTTTTAACCCTCATACAAAGTAGTTTCATATACTGATTCTTTCTGCGAAGGTTTCTGTTCTAAACAGGTGACTATTGGCACCTCTCCCCTTGCCTCTGATAATCCCAGAGCACTGTTTTTTCTCAACGGGTTAATTCACTGCTATCTATAAAGTTAGGTGCTGAATCAAGCATTGGTCATGGTGAAAACTCTACTGAGAATGATGGCCCTTTCCCCACAAACCTACATTCCTTCTAGAATCCTGGAATAAAATAGCCAAGGGGAAAAAGATTCCTTGTGGAGTTTAGCCCAGTGCTTGATCAGTAAACTGCTGGCTGCCTCTGACACCTGAGACACTGGGTCAGGCCTTCCGTACGAATCTGTGAACTATCTTGCAGAAAGACAAAGCCTAGCTGAAGTCACTTACATCTTCCAGTGGTAACGTCCAGCAAAGCAGTTCTGCTGATAGGCACGGTGGGGTCTCTGCTGCCTGCTTTGTATGCAAAAGCAAACTGAAGTCCCAGCTCAGCCCTGGGATCCGAGCCTGGAGATCCCCTGCAAAATCTGCACCCACCCGTCAAGGCCACAGGTCACATAAACATACTAGCCCTACCTTTGGGGGACCACAGCGGGGCCTGGTCAGGGCTGAGAGCCCCTGAGAGGTTGGGGTGTTGCCCCATAGGACCAGAAATCCAGGCTTGTGCTGAGCCTACACACCAGGACCCACAGCCTCCTGAAAGCATTTTCCAGGCCCCAAACATGAAAGAGACTCCTGAGCCACGGGTGGTGCCCAGAGCAGTCCATCAGGCCTCCCCCATCTCTGCTTCTCGCGTCTTCCCCTCTGTTCACCCTCATGCTGTTCTATTTACATGTGCAGATCTGGACTTTCGATTTTTCACTAAGCAATCACTCGAGCTCATGGTTTAAAAAACACTGAAAGATTCGAGTAGAAAGAAAAGAAATCCCCCAATTTGGTCCCAACTCCCTAGAATGAACACTTTTGATACTTGTGATATAGCCTTCCAAAAATGTTCTAAATAGACACAAGCATATTTACACAATGAGAGTTTTGCAAAAAAGTGTTTTTCGCTTTTAACAAGGTACCTGGAACATCTTTCCAAGTGTTAGTACATAGCTTCACCTCATTGCTTTCCATGTAGTTTGTGGCATTTACCTCATTTCCACTGTGTGCTATTACTAATATGTCTCTTGTGAATATTCTTGCACATGTGTGTTTATGGACTTGAGTGATAGTGTCTGCGTGACCAGTCCCAGTTGTGGAAGTGCTAGATCAGAGGGTACACTTCGCATTTTGGTAGATTAAAGCCCCATTGTCCACCCAAAACCTAATTTACATTCCAACCAAGAGCTCGTGGGGTCACTATTCAAATATTTTCATCTTGGTTAATCTGAAAGTAAAGAATGGTATTGATTTATCGCTTTTGATTTGTATTTCTTTATGAATGAGTATTATCTTTTCCCAAGTTTGTTGTCCACGTGTCTTTCTTCTTCTCTATTCATTTCTTCTAGATTTTATATTGTGTATCTCTTTAAATTTCAAAGAAATTAGCACTTTCCTCTAAATTTATGATAGATCTTTTGGCCTTATTTATAAACAGTTTGGCCACAGAGAAGTTTAGTTTTATGTAGGCAAACGGGGTTTTACATCATACTTAGAAAGGTCTCCCCAGTCTATGACCGACCTATGTTTCCTCCACTATTTCATGGTTTCATCACTACACTTAAATCCTCCATCCATCTGGAGTTTATGTTGGTGTCAGGCACGAAGTAGTCATCCAGCCTTGTTTCCCTTTCCCGGTGGCAAGTCAGTTGTCTTCAGCGCCATTTATTGAGTAGTCCTTCCATTCAACACCTGTTAGAAGTGACGGCTTTCTCTGGACTTGATGTTAAATGTCCCACTAGTAACATCTGTGTCCTGACTATGAGCTGGGACTTGGGGCTCGTCACACATCCTGTTGGGAGCCCCTGGGCTGTCCAGTAAAAGTTAGGTACTGAAGGGTGAGGAGAGGTTGCAAGGGACAGGCTCAGGGACCACGGAGGTTCAGGTGGCTGTGGCCCAACTCCTCCCGTTCCCATGCGCTCGCTTGAATCACACCCTGCAGTGACGCTCACTCACCACACAAGGTTGTCGGTGCAGCCGAACCACAGCCATGCTCACGGGGAGAGGAGAAATTTGTTCTCTAAGTTAGGTTTTTATGCTGTGTGCCTAAGCTATTCAGTCAGCATTAGTATACTTCTTCCCACCAAACCTCAGGAAGAACATACAAGCAAAGCAGCTCTTCTACTTGAAGATGGTCTAGGCAGCGGTGTCCAACCTGCGGCCCAGGACAAAATCATACATTTGCTTAAAATATTACAAGATTTTTTTGCGATTACACGTCACAGTGTATTTAGTGTGTGGCCCAAGACAACTCCTCTTCTTCCAGGGTGGCGCAGAGACACCACAAGGTCCGACACCCCTGGGAGTTTCCCTGGCCCCCTCTGCAGTGGGCCCTGAGGTCTCTGCCCTGAACTCTCTCTGAGACTTGGGGATCATGGCGTGCAGACACTGAGCCTGAGAGCTCTAAGTACCAAAAAAAAACTCTTATACCAAGAAGAGGCACTGCATCTGTAGGATTTGTGAGGGTGTGGGCGGGGGTACTCAAAAGAAAAGAACTGTAGAGTTTACTACTCATGGTGGCTATTCACTACCAAGGACAGGAAATTTCAGATTTCCTCCCGGGGAGAGAACTCCCAAACCTTGGATGGCAAGTTACGGGTTCCTTCCTCCTCCCCCTCATTCCCACACCCCTACTGCTTACCTCCACCTCCAACCCCTACCCCCCCACAATGCCCTCCATGTGCTCTGGAGCAAACGATTTTGTATGTAAAAGGCTCCTCTTGATATAACTGGTGTTTCTCTTGTTCTTCAGCTTTCTGATGGCCTGAGAGAAAATTTGCTTCAGGACATTCCTTAGTTAATGATTCAAGCATCACCTGAACAGATCAATTGAAGCAGCAAAGCACTGTTGCATTTATGTGGTGCCCTGGCATGTCCCAAGGACACTGGACAATTCTTACCAGTGGTCTGGAGAATTGGCATTCCATCTAAAGCCAACCTCTTGGAGAAGTGGTGTGCATTTAGGAACCAGGCTAAGGACCAATGGGACCCTCTGGCCCATCCCCCCACCTTGCTCTCTGCAGCACAGTCTCCATCAATAGCTTGCTTAACACCCTTCTTGCTCTTTTCTTCTCTCAGAGTAGTACAGCGAGGCATTTGGCTTACTGTTAACTCAGAGAATGCTCATCAAGTGTGGGTTAAATATGGTAAGGAAGCGATTTTTATTCCTGGGTTTGGAAAGTAACTGAGCCACTTTGGGCAGATCTTTGATGTTCTCAGATACGCAAGGGGTAGCATTTCTAGATCCCCATTTTCCAGACTAGCAATTACATAAAGTTAGGCTGTTGTTTTAGTGCACAAATGCAGAGAGAAAGGGCTGGGCAGGTACACACCAAACTGAAAAGAGAGACATCTGGGCAGAGGAACGGGAGGCATGGAACAGCAAAGAGTTGTGTTCTCCTGTCTATATTCTCTACACTGAGAATGTGTTTTTATTACATAATTGGAAAATAAAACATTAAGACAACGTTTATTCTAGTCACAAGCATGCTACGGCCCAAACAACAGAAATAACACATCCTTATGTTCACTTAGAGACTTTGTCATACCCTGCCTCTTGAAAGCACTTTTTCAGATACATCTTCTCTTGCAAGTTTCATTTTTTTTAATACCCTGCTCGCTTGTTGATTTAAAATGGACACAGCCCTTCCTAGGACCCTGGATCCCATGGCCTGTGTCTGAGGCACATCTCTCCCCAGGACTGCAAGGTTGGGGAGACTGCTTGGCGAGTTCTCCTTAGAGCCGAGGGTGTTGAAAGGCCATAAGGCTTTTTCTTCAAGGGATGTTGGAGAGGATGAAACACCCACACTCATGGGAGAGGGCCCCCCTTCACGGAGAAATGCCCGTGTCCCCACCCAGAGCCTCATCCCGGTCAGCCCTGCACAGCACCCCCCTGCCAGGATGACCATTGCCCTTGCAAATTTACCTAACCTGCTGACCTCCTGGGGCACGGTCACTATTGAACCAGCTAAAGTCCCAAATTCTCTATTGACTAAGGTTCAGTTTAGACAAAAAGAAAGGGGGGGCATATAAAAGGGCACACTTCTTGATTTCATTTTCTTCTCTTTTTATTTGATGAGCTAAGTTGTTTGTTCTTCAGTGGCTAGGTACAGATATTTCTTGTGTTTTGTTTTGCCTTAAATATTGAACAGAGCTCGACCTTCTTCCAGGGTAGAAAATGAGCTTGTTAACACTGGAGACCGAGTATGCCACAAAGTAAACTAAAATACTTCAAATCACTTCTAAAATGAAGCAAGGCCCAGAGAAATAAATACTCTAAATCAAGAATGAGATTCTCTGAAGTTATCTAGCATTTCAGTAACTCTTCGTGACCTTTTTATCTCAAGGTTAGAGTCAGCTACCACAAAGACGTGTAAATAGATGTTCGATTAACAGACAGCATGGGCATTAAAGTACAACTTCAAGAGACAGAATCCGAGGCAAAAACGCCACGCTCACTGTTTTACCACAGGGGCGCAGGTAGAAGGCAGGGCACTGAACCTGGGCCAGTTTTCTTTCTGTTTCCCATTCTTGGAGCTCCCTTTGGATTGCATTTTGCTGCTGGGTCTATAGTTTCTCTTCAAGCGTTTTTTTAAATTTCAATCACTTAAAAAAAAATACCGTGGCTCCAATATAGCTCTGACATATACTTACGTACCACAGTGAATTTCAGACAAAGTGTGACCCCAGGAAATGGGCATGCCTAGTTAGAGCAGCTATAATAATTAAACATTCAAGCCATATACGTGCTAGACAGAATGTGGGCATTATACCACGATTATGGCTGCTGACAACAACCATTCATGTTTAACATTATCGTCCCCACTTACAGCCAAGCAAGAGACAGCTGATGTTCAAACTGAGGTTCTCCTGGTCCCAAAGCCTAGACTGTCATGATCGCCATTCAGACAATGGCCCAGCAGGTGGTAAACCTTCAGCTGCAAACTACTTACTCGTGTTCATTTCAATACAGTTCCATGATGTGCTTAACCAGACATTTAAATGTTTGCTTTCATTTTTAACCTCACCAACATGGTATAATACAGTAATAAGGGGACTGGTTCGTCTTTTACATCAAGGTAATAATAGTGATTTTTTTTTTCTTTAGCCACCAGCTAAATACCTCCTTCCAGAGGTGACAGTGCTTGACTATGGAAAAAAATGTGTGGTCATTGACTTAGATGAAACACTGGTGCACAGCTCGTTTAAGGTAAATCAGCATGAAAACCCATCCATGATCTCGGGGCTTCAGACACAATCGGATGAAAGCTGGTGGTTACTAGCGTGTGACTTCATTGTTCGTGAAGAACTCCCAAGAACAGTTGTTTATTAACCCAGGTGAACATTAACTCAAGTGGTTGAATATTAACATAATTAGTTTGGGGGGGAAATGCTGGGCTGTCCATATTACTGAGACCTCATTCTCATGTATGAGATCGGAGTTCCCAGCACTTTAACCCCTGCAGGAATACTTTTCAGGTGGCACAAGGCAGTGCCTTAGTGCCCCAGGACACCCCCCGCCGTGCATTTGTCACGGTAACCGGGGTGCCGTATGTTTTATTGGGAGGGGCAGGAGAGGCACTGTTAAAGCAACCTGCTATCCTGGAGGTTTTCCCAGACCAATTTTTTTGAAAGATGTTCAACTGAATCAGCTGAAGAAGACTCCCAGAGTTACAGCAGGTGAACGGATTCAGCCATTTATTTTGACTATTTTCATAATAAGAGGTTGCTGGGGATTTTATCAGCTCCACAGCTTAATGAGTATCCGCCTGCGAGACCGCCCTCCTGAAGGGTTCCGGGCTTCCGTGGTGTCAAGGTGAGCATCCGATAGTCTTAATTCTCTCCGCTCCCTCACTCTCCATCGCCCCGTCAGGGTAACAGCAAAAATTAATTACAAATCACCAGGGGACCTCCCTGCAGAACAGCTGTAATGACACTCTTAAGAAATGAGTTAATTAACCATTTTCCATTTTTTGAAATGGAAAAAATTATTTCAGAGAGGCAAATGATGAAAAGCTTTGGAAACGGTATCAGTACGCAGGGGAGAGGAAGCGGGTGTGTAGGGCCCTGGCCCTAATTGCCTTGAGGTGTGTCTGGTGATGGACCGGCTCTGCTATGCTGACCAGTTAGGCCGGGCTGCTCTTCCTGTCTGCGTCGCAGGGCTCCCATACTTCACCAAGGGACACGGAAGGCTCCCTCCATGATGGGGTATGGGTCTCACATGAGCCACAGTCATTCCCCAATGGTCGTATGGGGACTGGAGGAGCCATCGAGTTTGGAGACCTTAACACCAAATTCTTTTTTCCTTCTGCCTGTTGTCACTAAGCAGAGGCCTTTGTCGGCAGGGCAAGGCTGGGTGCTGGTCTTTCAGTCCTTGGGAGAGTGCCGGAGGGGCCACATTTACCTTGAGTGGAGAGAAATGACCCGTCTGGCCACTGGGGGTGTGCAGAACCACCTCATTCCCTGGTATTTCCAGGGTCCTTCCGGGACCGGTGCAGGTGCTGCAGGGGCGTCGCCCAGCTCAGCTCTGAAAGGCACTGGAAGCTGTCCCCCCACCACACACACACCCACTATGAGCAAGTTGCACAGAACTTTTTCAAGTCCCTCTGGAGGGAAGCCCTTTGGAACAGGGGTCATTAGCCGTGACAGCGTAGACAGCTTCCCTGCAAGCAGTCTGGGAGTGAAGGCAACGCTGGCCAGACCGCCCAGGGTCACCTAGAGCTCCCAGCTCCAAAGGCGGGGCCTTGGCAGCCCGTGGTGTCTCCTGGGCCTGCTCGTAGGACAAGCCGATGAGAACAGCATCTTCTTGTTGCTTCTCACCCTGGCCTGCCTACATCTGCAAGCAAAATGTGCTTCATTGCACAGTTTTTAATGCCCAGGGCATTTCAAAGGCCCTCGAGAATCCAAAAGCTGTGAGCCTCCCCGCTCAAGGTGTACAGCTAACTGCACAACTCCCAGGCTCACGGGCCCAAGTTAGGACCCTGGCTTTGGCACGCAAGGCCTCCCTGACACCAACACGTGACGGGGATAGAGAATGGGTGCTTGCCCTGAGTTGGAGAATGAACCTTGTGAGAGTTTCTTCCTCCAGTCTCCCTTTGTTTTTTAGCATGATTCTGTATTTTAGTTGTGAAATTATTGTAGTTGTGAACCCACCCTTGGCCTCACAGCTACAGAAGTGATGAAACTGGAACCCTAAGCCCCAGACGCTCTTGCACATGCTTAGTGATGGTTCTGCGATCTCCTGTGCTCCACGTTTCTCCAGTTTACTGATCAAAGAAGGACGTGTGTCCATACAGTCGTGGGCGGAAAGGCAGGCCCCAGTTCAGAGTCTGACCAGAGATTCTGTTCCCGGCAGCCTGCGCAGTGGCCGCCACACATGTTGTCTGTCCCTGTATCTCTCTCCCAGTCGTCCCTAGGGTTTGCAGCTGTTGAATCTCTTGGGCCTGTTGATTTGAGTGGTTTTCTATCTAATTTGTGGAAACTCATTTAGAAGTATAGGTGAGTTCATCCCTGAGAACCTAGTGACCGCCGAAGAATCATATGTGAATGTTAAACGTCACTGACGCTGTCGGCCTTATTGTAAACACCCAGCAGTTCGTGAGCGCACTGGGTGTTGCATGGCGTAGACCAGAGCAGGCGAGGGTAGTCGGAAACCCCTGATGCTCAGGACTGGATGGGGCCGTGGACACTCATGAGCCCCATCCCAGGAGCTATGGAAGAGAGGAGAGACCAGGGTCCCGAGAGAGGGGGGGCCTGCCCAAGGTCATGGCGTGTGGCCTCTGACTTTTCACCCCCCCCCCAAGTCCTTGGCCCTGCTTTGTGTCATGGGGTGAGCATCTCCTGCCCATCACAGCCACAGGCGCTTGTGGGCCCAGTACCCATTATCGCCCCCATGTAGCCCTGTCCTCCAGGACCGTGGGCTCTCATTGCCCACCCCCACGCTGGCCAACAGTGCTTCCCTATTCTAGCAGGACTTTAGGCTAGAGCTGGGGTTTCCAAGGAGCCTGCCTCATTCCCTAGCCAGGCTACCCCACCTTTTGTGGTTGATGCACTGGAGCAAAGGCAGATGATAAAGAGAGTGGACCAAGCTGCTGAAAATGTAACAATATTCAAAACGACAACAAAAAAAATGTGCTTTTCTGCTTGTGCTTACTTTAAGGAACCCAGGCATGCTTCAACATCCTTCTGAACTGTTTTTCCCAGTAATAGAAACATTGGTACAGGAGAGCTTTGTGCTCGCTAAAATTTCCGATGCTATTTCATCCTTTCAGATGTATTAATTATAGTTTCTTTTCTCTCCAGCCCATTAGTAATGCTGATTTTATTGTTCCTGTCGAAATCGATGGAACTATACATCAGGTAAGAAATCAAAGCTAAATCTGAGTTCCAATTAGCGTTTTTTAGTGACTACACTTCTTCTGAACTTTATTTATAAATTCCCATTCCAGTAATGATCTCATCACTGAATCAAAAGGAAGCAAACTTTAAAATAAATACAATGGTTTTCTGCTTTTTTTTTTCCACTCATGAATTTGTTTTCTACGGGGTTTATAAGGCAAATTATAAGCTATTTGTAAGTACTAGATGTGGTTGCAATTTAAAATAGTTCTTTGATTTGATGCAGACTTTTAGAAGTTTCCGTATCCCCACTGGCCTAGCTTGATGGTCTAATTAACTTCCTCGTGTAATTGCTTTCGGCTACTCTTCTAGCAGGCAACAGGAAAATGCCACAAGTCACCCATTTCTGGTGAATTCCCAGGGAAAGTTGCCCATTTCCAATGCCAGACTTTGACTCCGGCCTGACCTTGACTCTCCTGCATCATGTTCTCCAGAGAATTTTAGCAAAAAACCCTACCCAAAGAGAAAGGGAGAGGGGCGTGAGGTTTCGGGTCGGCAGGCAGCATCGAAGAGAGAAAGACACTGCAGTCAGTTGGCGTGCATTTTTGTTCCGATTGTTTTTTTTCTTATCGGCATGAAGCACCTCCGGGAATGGCTTCGTTTATGAACATATTTGGAAACATTGTAGAAAAAACAGCTGGGGAGGCCGAAGAACAAGGGAGCCCTTGTCAGGGTTCCCACAGAGGTGATCTGGGCACCGTCCTGTCAACCCCACAGTCTTGAAGTGAGAATCTCTGGGCTGATGGGTTCATGTCCCAGGAGGGAAACTGCTCTTGGTGCTTGAGCCATGACATCGTTAAGGATGTCTCTCCTTAACAATGTCAGTAGTCTCTGGTCTGACCAGGCCTTGGAAATCAGTTGGCCGAGCCACCTCATTGTCCAGATGGGCAAACTGAGACTCAGCCAGAGAAAGTGTTGTTTGAAGGCCACGCAACATGAAGAATTAGTGAGACTGCCAGTCTCCTGCCCCCTGCTCAGGGCTCTTTTCCTGATATGTCAGTCCCTTTCCTCCCCTGCCAGGAAGCCGTCCCTGGAAAAGGCAGCTTCGTCCCCAGCATCTCCACACTTCAAGCTTTTAAAAGCCATCAGGGAGCCAAAACGGCAGGCACTTGGGCATTTAACATTTACAAAAACATCAGCTGAATTAACTTAGCATCTGAGAAGCAGTTAAGGCTTCTGCATTTATTATCTTGGCTCGTGTTACAAAGTAATGAGACAAAGAAGAGGCTGCCCGTTGGCATGGCAAGAATTAGGAGAGAAATTAATACCTCGTGACTGTGAGCATGACCCTCGGGGCCTGACCTGCTGTGGCCAGACCACTCTTGAAGGAGCCAGCCCAGCTCCCCCAGCCTCCCTCCAGACTGTTCCATGATGCACTTGGCGATAGATACTCCAGGGCACCAGGGCTGGGATCAAAAACTCTCTCCTGAGGGAATGAAGCCACAGGCGCCAAGAGGAGGACCAAAGCCCTGGCGAAGGCCGTGGCCTCGTTCAAGTAATCCAGGATAGGCTGTGCAGGTCCCGATGGGCCTATTCTCGGTTACTTGCACGGGGACGCGGGCCTGGACGCCGGCATCCGGGCCCAGGACCCTCCTCTCTGCCAGAGGCACCAACACCAGAGTTCTCAAATCAGTCTCCCGCCCTTCACATGTAGCGAAGCTTGATTTCCCATCAGTATTCCCAGGGAGGCTGAAGACCACAGGCCACACTGTTCCCCGCTCCAAGAATCTCATGGGCAAAGGGAGTGCCTGGAGCTATTGCAGCTGCAGGCCCCGCCCTCAAGCCCCCGCCTGTCCTCCCCCCTCCACAGAGCCCTGTGGGCACCCACCCCAGGCCATTCCGCTCCTCCAGCCCCTCACTGGCCCCACAGCCACAGGCCCACATGCACTTCATCCTTTCCGTGGGCCACAAGTTCCCCTCCAAGCCCTGGCTCTCTGATTCCCCTGCCAGTGGCACACCCTCCGGTGGCTCAGAGCCCCTGTTTCCTTCTCTCACTCCTCCTGCAGGATGTCCAGCCCGCTCCCTCTGCCTCACTGGCCCCACACTACTCACTCCCACCTGTCTGTCCCACTTCATCTTCAGCCACTCCTCCTGTCCCCCATTCCCCTCCTAATCGTTGCCTCTGGAGGGCTGCTTGTGCAGGGCTCTGGCCATTCTCTAACACCCCAAGTATTTTCAGTCCAGGCCTCATGTTTATACTGTTTCCTGCCCAGGAGCTCACTTACCCTTATCAGCCTGGTGAGCTATTCATCCTTCAAGGTCCAGGCCAAATGTTACCTTCTGTGATTCCCTCCCCTTGAGAGAGGAATTAATGGCCCTTAATTGATCCCTGTACTGGAACTTTCGGTCTGCATGTTTATTTGGGTATTTTGTGTGTGAGTGTCTGCTCTAGACTGTGAGCCCTTTAAGGGCAAGGCCTCCGTTTTATTCATCCTTGTAACAGCTTCAGGCTGAGCCCAGAGCTGGGGCTCAGTGAATATGAGTTGAATTGCATTTTAACGCATTTGATTTATTTTAGGGAAGTGGCTAATTTCGAATGGAATTTATGCAAGTTTTAATTAGTTCTTCCCTCCTCCTACCGCCTCTGTCTTCATTCACCAGCCTTGCCTTCTCGCCCATCTCCCTTTCCCTCAGATTCGTGCAGGCTCCTGGGCTCCCAGGTCAGGAGCACAGAGCTCAGCCCCCCTAGCAAAGGCCCCTCTTAGCCCCCTTCCTCTGGGTGTCCCTGCCTGATGGCTCCTCCCGAGGCCTGGGATGAGGCTGGCTTCGCATCCCCTGAAGCACCCATTTCTGTAGCAAGCTCAGGCATGGTCACCTTTGTAAAGGTGTCCAGGGGTGCCTTCCCAAGCCCACAAGGGAGGGCTTGCTCTGCAGGGCTTCCTAGGAAGGAGATGTTCCCATCCAAGTACCCCCAGAGCAATCCCACACCTGCTGGGCCAGGCCTGGACCTCCAGAAGGACACCCCCAGGCCATGGCCCGTGTTCACACAGAGCCTGACCCAGAGTACGTGCCGAGAAACACACCTGAAATGAGAGAATTGTTTCTCACAAATGGGGTACACCCTTCCACTCGCTGGTCCTGAAATCCCCAGGCCCCTCAGGACCATGGTCAGCTTTCCCTACTCCCTTGGGAGGGGCATCTGCACCAAACTCAGGCCTGGAGCCCAATCTCAGGAGTGTGAAGTGCCCCCCACACAGAGCCCAGAGGCTGGAAGCAGGAACCATTTTAGGAAATCCTCCTCCTCCAGGGTTTGGGCCCCTGGCCACCTCCAGTAGCTGCCGCACCTGACCAGCTCGCTGCCTCGTGCCGTTGCAGGTGTATGTGCTGAAGCGGCCGCACGTGGACGAGTTCCTCCAGAGGATGGGGCAGCTCTTCGAGTGTGTGCTCTTTACTGCCAGCTTGGCCAAGGTGAGCCCTGCTCCCAGACCAGAGCTCCCAGCCCCTCCACCGCTGCCCCGGGTCTATCAGAGGGCCCTTTGTTAAGGGGGGGAAGCTGTTCCTATGGTGACACATTCCCACCCCAGATGGGGTGGATGCAGGCCATGTGCACAGTGCCAGCCTGAAAGGCTTCTGGGTTACCATGGTGACAGGGAGCCTTTGGAACAAATGCTCCATGAAGTTGCCGCCTGCCCCCTGAAGCAGGCTGTCCATGGAGCAGGAAATCACAAATGTGTCCCACCACACAAGACAAGTGTCTGCATCTCATCTCTACGCTGGCAACCAAATGCTAGAGGATCAGGCTTCTGTGTCCCTGGGTTATACAGGTGTAGGGGGACCCAGGTGCTTGGGCCAGCCCAGTGGCAGTTCTCCCTGCACTGATGAGTCTGTAGCAATCTCAGGCAAGTTGCTTCACTTCTTGCATCTCAGTCTCTTCTATTCTTCCTAGATAACGTCACCTCCCTTGTGGGGTGGGTCCAAATAATGCACACGACGGGCTGAGGACAGCGCCTGACTCATTCAACGGGTATTCTCGGATGCCCGCTGCGTTCCCCGTGCTGTCCTGGGCACTGTCGCGTGGACGTGCTCCCGGTGTCCGTTGTTTACTATCATAATTATTAGTGATGATAAAATAATTCACACCTGCTCTGGCCCTGTAGCTTGGTATGCATCTCTGACCCAGAGTCCCACCAGACGGAGTGGTTTCTTTGCCCTCTCCTGCCGTCTTAGGGAATTAGCAGGTTCACGGGACACCGCCGCTCCCCCCCACCCCATGGTTAGTCTGTCCCGTATCAGGTGCCTGTGTGTGCAGGATGGGCAGGCAGGCCCCACTCCTCAGAGGAGAACTTTGCCAGGACCGTCTTGCAGGCCTAGGCCCTGGGGGGACCAACACCAAGCGTTTCTCGGTGGCCCCATCAGAGTCTCCATGGGCACCTCAGAGCCGCTGAGTGGCCCCAAAGAGGAGTTTTGCAGAGCCCAAGTTAGCCATCTGCCCCGAGGGCTCCCATGTAGCTCCCTCCCCCAGGCCCTGGATCTGGAGGGCTCCTTTCTCTTCGTGTTGGGGTCTCTGACCCTGACGTGCTGCTTTGTCAGCCTGGGCATTCCTGGTTCGGGCCATCTCTCTGTCACGGCCAAGGCGAGAGAGAACCTCACCGGCACCACATTCTGCCAGGCTCATTGCCATGCCTTAAAGCATGAGCCCATAAAAATGGAAGCCAAAATCTGGGCCTTCCTCTTGTGGCTGAACAGTGAACATGGCCTCAGGGAAGACGTCATCATCTCCAGTACTCGGTCTTCCAGATGAATGGCACCAAACCCAATTGTATTGTAGTGCCCTGCTCTTCTGTCAGTGCTCTGGGGCGCTGAGGACCCCAGAACGATAACCAAAGAAATGACAAGCAGCAAGACTGCACCAGACTCAAGGCACTGAGAGTTGTTTTTTTTCTTTGGCAAAATTGGAAACATTCTTCCTTGGCATCATCCCCAGCACCCGCTTAAACATCCTTGTGCAATCTCTTTTCCTGGGCTGCGCCCACCTGCCCCTCCATCTGTCTCTCCAGCCCTTCTCTCGCTGCTCCGCCAGCCCGGCTCAGCCTTCCGGCCTCTGTCCTCCCTGATGCACAGGTTGTGCTGACAGGTGGGCGCTCCCCAGTGCTTGGCTCTGGGCTCAGCACCCAGCCAGCACGGTTGGCGCAGCGACCGCCTGGCCCACGTCCAAGGGCCAACAGGAGCCTGGAGCTGACCGTTAGAGCCCTTCGGTGTCTGCATCCTGCCCTTGGTTTCCTTCATTCACTCATCCACCCAACATTGACTTCGCACCCAGTGTGTGACAAGCACTGTACTAGGCACCAGGGTACAGCAGCGAACTAGAGACAAAGTCCCAGCCCTCGGGAAGCTCACACACCCCAAATTCACCTCTACTGCCTGGAGCCCCGAGCCTTGGACTCTCCCGTGAAAGATGTGCGCCAGCACCAGTGTTAGCGATCTGAGGAAACCAGTTGTCATTCCCATTTCAAGTGAGCCCCCTCACCCACCCACGTGGCGCTTGGCCACCTTCACCAGCAGAAAACCACAACCCGCTCTGGGCTCTGCCTTGTAGCCCTGCTGGCATCTGCCCGGCACTCCAGCCACCGTGCCCTCCCAAACCACCAGTCTTGGTTACTTGTTGCCTCCAGGGCAGAGTCACAGGTCCGTGGTGACATCTGGCTGTGCCCCTCCCTCCCTGGCGTCTGTGTGCTGAGGCCTCACATCCGGTTGCCGCTGCCGCTCTCTTGCCTCCAGCTCCGGGCACTCAGCCTTGTCCAGTCATTCAGTATCTTCATATATGAAGGTTTTCCCTTTATTTTTTTACCTGTTTCGGCCTGCTTTGGGGAAAATTCCCCAGGTCCTGAGAGAGGGCCAGGCAGGATGATCCCCATCTGCAGTCTGGGCTCAAACTGCCTCCCGTCAACTCCCAGGCTCCAAGTAAACAGAGTGGGTGTCTGGGCCCCATTCGGACACAGCCAGGGGCTGCCTGGGCCCAACTGCCTAGAGCACCTCTAGGGGGCAGTGTGGCCTCACACCACTCAAGCCAAACTAAAAGTTGGCTCATGGATTTACCCATGAAACTGGGATCTACTGGGCCCCTGCCCCACGGACCACAGGGTCGGCACTTCACAAGGTGCACAGGACAGGCAAGGCCTGGGCCCTGGCCAGTGGTGATGGGTTCGGTGAGGGCGGTTCCTGTGAGGTGGTAGAGTCGGGCCCTGAATGGAAGGTGCAGGGTTCTCGATGGTGGGTGAGGGACGCCAGGACCTGAGAAACAGGGTTCCGGTGCAGAGAGCTGGGGAGAGGCTGTTCCACCCAGAGGGGACCCTCGTTCTGACTGTGTCCAAAGCCCACGTGGCCCAAGTGATTTGAGATGGAGCTGAGAGGTTGCAGAAACCACGCAGCTGCAGCCCTCAGGAGGTTCGGAGGAGAGGAGCGTGGGCTTATTCCACGTGAGCGGGCTGGAAAGGAGGCCCAGGGAAGAGCGAGATGCGAGGGGCTTGCACAGCCCCCCAGGCCGAGGTTACAGAGGCCTGGACGAGGGTCATGACAGTGCAATAGAAGCAGGTGGATTCCAGATATTTTTGGAGATGGAACTGACGAGGGTTTCTGATGGGTTGGATATGAGAAGCGAGAGAAATAGTGTCTTACACACACACAGAGGAAAATAACCAGGACCCCAAAACCTCCCTGGATTTAAATTCCTTCTTAGAAAAGTAAGCTGCACTTGTGCAGTAGGTCAGTTCTGGGCTCCCCCAAGCACCCAGCCTTCATTACAATGCCTGCTTTGCAGTATGCAGACCCTGTCGCCGACCTGCTGGACCGCTGGGGAGTGTTCCGGGCCCGGCTCTTCCGAGAATCCTGTGTTTTCCACCGTGGGAACTACGTGAAAGACCTGAGTCGCCTGGGACGGGAGCTGAGCAAAGTGATCATCGTGGACAATTCTCCTGCCTCGTACATCTTCCACCCCGAGAATGCAGTAAGTAGCTCCCGAGAGAAAGAACTCGGGGCTCGTCTGAGCTCTGTCCTGCTGGGCAGCCACCGCTTTTGTCCCTTCCGGCACCGATGCCAGGTTTCTCGGCCTCTTCCTTGGTGAAATCCCAACTCTGCCACTTAGCACCTGCAGGACATCACCAGGCTATTTCACCTCCCCGAGCCTCAGTTGCCTCATCTGACAAATGGGGATCGTAGGAATGCTGATCTGATAGGGTCATTGGAGGGTTCGGTGTGGCCGTACGTGAAGAGCAGTTAAAATGGTGCTTGCGGTGGGTTAGTGCTCCATGGGTCTGTCTCTTCTTAGCATTTTCAGTATTATCACCGAGGAGCGTGCTGTCCTGCACCTCCTGGAGCTGGCTGCTGCCCAGGACTTACGACCCCTGTAGGCATCTTCATCAGAAGTATTCCTTGCCCTGGCCAGGTAGGCTCAGTTGGTTGGAGCATTGTCCTGTACACCAAAAAGGTTGCAGGTTCAATTCCCAGTCAGGCCACATACCTAGGTTGCATGTTAGATCCCAGTTCGGAGTGCATACAGGAGGCAATGAATCATTGTTTCTCTCTCAAATCAATGTTTCTCTCTCTCTCTCCCTCCCTCCCCACCTCACCTTCCCTAAACATCAATAAGCAAGCATATCCTCCAGTGAGAATTTTTTTAAAAGGTAATTTTTAAATAAGAATGAATAAAACACTTTAATAAGGTCTTCAGATAAGGCTGCCAGCCTTTACTGCCTCGTAATGACATGTAAAAAGTATACAATGGGGACATTTCCAATATAAAACTCCCCAGAGCGCGGCCGCTCTTGGCATCTGCACATGGGGTGCAGCATGACTCTCAGAGCCACAGCTCCCACCCTGCACTGCGGCAGGAAGAGGGGTCAGCCAGGCCCAGCTGGCCGCTGACCCCCAGCAGAAGCCACCACACCGGGCCCTCAGACCCAGTGGGGGCCGAAACAGGGCTTTTTCTCTTGAGCCCAGAATTTGGCTGCTCCCCCTACAATATGAAAATGAGTTCAAACTTAGATTCCGTTAGTGTATGATCATTATTTTAATAAAGTTTTACATTTATTACATGTAAATGTTTATTTCAATGAGTTCCTCAAATTCAATATCATGCATTTTGTAATGCGTCTCTTAACAGATAAGGATTAGTTTTTCATATAATCACAGTTCCGTTATCCCAGCTGAAAGAATTAACAGTTTCTTAAAGCTAATATTCAGACTGTGTTCATATACTCTTTGCTATCTCAAAATGCGGGGGGGGGGGTATTTTATTTATTTATCTTTTTAAAGTGGGTAATCTAAGGGAGGAAGTGGAGAGAAACATCAATGTGTGGTTGCCTCTTGAGCGCCCCCTGCTGGGGACCTAGTCTGCAACTCAGGCCTGTGCCTTGAGGGGTAATCAACCAGCAACCCTTTGGTTCACAGGCCAGCACTCAGTCCACTGAGCCACACCAGCCAGGGCTTGAAATGTTTTCTTACCTTTGGATTGTTTCAATCAGAATCCAAACAAAACATCTGGTTAATATGCCTCTTAATTCTTTTATAATCTTAACACTTCTCCTTCCCCTCACCTGTTGTCTTTCATGCCTTTGTTGAAGAAATTATAGTTATTTGTCTCGTAGAAATTCCCTACAGTCTGGATTTGCCTAATTGCACTTCATGGTGGTAGTTAGTATGTTTTCCTAGCCACCGTATTTTCTTTTTCTTTTTTTAAGTATATTTTATTGATTATGCTATTACAGTTGTCCAATATTTTTTCCCACTTTATTCCCCTTCACTCTGCACCCCCCCCACCAGCATCCCCCCCAACTTAGTTCATGTCCATGGGCCGTACATATAACTTCTGCCTCCATATTTTTTTTAACCACAAAGTTAGACCACGGCCAGTGGATTAGATACCACATCAGGAGACATAATGCCGGCTTGTCCCACTTTTAAAGATTCTGTATTCCTCTTTGGATTCAGGTGGTGTCCACCTGATTTGTCCATTTTCATGTTCCCCATCACCCTTTCCCCTAAAAATGTAAGCAGTTGCTGATCATTGCCCACATCTACAATTTCATCTGGAATTGCAAAATGGTGATTTCTAAATTTTATTCTTCATTTGTTGGCTGGCATTCTAATCCTTTTCAATGAAACTCGCCCTCACTGATGCCTCCTTACCCCAAAGTTCAGTTTGAATGTCTGAAAAGGAAAGACGGTAAAATCTGGGTTCTCTTCTTTTCTTTTCTTTTTTTTTTATTTTATTTAGTTATTTTTCAATGGGTTCTCTTCTTCAACTATACAATTTCAGAGTGATGAGTTCATATTCCAGCAACTTCCAAAAGTAACCAATGATTTTTTTGTCTTAGGTATCATCATGGATTCATGGATTTTTTTTTTATTGTTTGATTTAAACTATTTGTTATTCTTTTGTATGCTTAAATCTTCCCCTTTGGCCAGGGGACTGCCTTCCAATCACAGTGTAGTCTTTGGTTGCTTCCTGCTTTCGGGCACAACAGAAGTTCCAGGCTTACTTTGTCCATTTCTTTCTTTCTGTCTTTTCAATGACCTGTTATACCAAGGCTTCCATCTTTAATATTTTTCACCTGATCCATTTCTTGCTTCAGCCCTGTAATCAGCCACTTTTCTGTGGAGCGCGGTCCCTGTCAGCAGAAGTGATTCTGAGACCATTTTGGCAGGGCTCTCGTTGTTACTGGGACATCCTTTGCATTTAGCCCTTCCTACTGGGCAGAGCTGAAATAGACATATTTCTTAAGTGAAAACCGAATTACAAATTTACACTGGTTTTCCCAATTCACTTTGATAACAGTTCTTATGTAATTTCCTTGTTTTTGTATTTGTGTCTCCTTTTAGACTGAAAGTCTTCATTCCTAAAGATATTAACATCATTACGTTTGATTTATTCTATAATAAATGTATAATAATTTCAAAATAATAGTACTAATGGCATTCCTAATAAGACAATTGGATGCATCCATGATTTTTTGGAGAAATGTATAGACAACACTAGCTTTTAAAATTACTTGGAATAATTCTCCGTGGTGACATCACCAACTTTTACACACTTAGCTCATTTTTTTTAGCGCTTTTTAATTTTTTTGCTTTTTTTCTTAATGGTTTGATTCTATTTCAGTCACATGCTACGTTGACATGGTTCCAACATCCGAACTGTCAACAAAGATAAATTTAGATGAGCCTTGCTGGCTTCTCCCCTGCTTCTACTGCTTCTCTAGCAGTCGTCATTTGTGGTGTTCCCTACCTTGTTTAGGTTTCTTAATTACCTCGTGAATTATGTTTATAAGCAGTCTTCAGATTTATAAAAGGATCAACTATTACTTTCAAACTTTTAATTCCCCCAAATTTCTTGGTAAATCTCTTCTCCCTGGATACTACCACTCTTCTGTCTAAAACTAATCTTATCATCTTAAAATCTTCTAATTTTAAGGAAAAATCCAGTTCTGGGCCCACAGCTTCAGAATGCCCTGAAACTTTGTACTTCTCCTTTAAACCATCAGTGCTAAGCCTGGGAGGATGTCCCCGCTTCTCTTTGCCTCACAACTTGACACAGTCGCCCCAAGTGGACCCTGCTGTCCCCCACCCCTGGGCTCCCTGGTGTCCAGGGTGGTTAGGAATCTCTGACTCCAGGTTCTGTGAGCTCCAAGGAGTTGGTTTGATGGAAAGAGTGTCTGGAAATTGGCAACCAGCAAGGCTAGTTCTTAGACATTCTGTACCCCGGGCCATCTTTTCTGCGGCAGGGAAAGAGAACAGGCAAAGGTTTCACCCTGGGCACAGGCAGCCCTGCCTTCCGGGGCCATTTTCCCAGCCAGGTTGCTTTGGACGAATCCTAGTTGCAACGAGGAACAAACAAAGTCCTGAGGATGGAGATGATTGCTGGATACCCGGCCTCCTTACCAAAGAAAACGTTCTTAGAAAAAAAGCGGGCCCCCCAGTCCGGTTCGGAGCCGCCCCCAGTGCCCGGGACAGTCCTGCTGCCCCTCCACACTCTGTCTTCCAGGTGCCCGTGCAGTCCTGGTTCGATGACATGACCGACACGGAGCTGCTGGACCTCATCCCCTTCTTCGAGGGCCTGAGCCAGGAGGACAGCGTGTACAGCATGCTGCACAGACTCTGCAATAGGTAGCCCCGGCCTCCGCCCGCCTCCCGCCCGCGCCCTGGAGCCCACAGCCTGGCCTCCAGCTCCCCAGGAGCTGAACGTGAGGACACGCCGTGCTCCGGGCCACGGGGTGATCGTGGCCATACCTACCTGTTTTATTTTTTAAGAACAGAAACAACTATTTTAAAATGAACTCTTTTAATGAATTTCATAAAGGGACACGCATTTTACTGGATTTGCTTTTCTTAAAACATACCAAAAAGAAAAAAATGGGGGAAAAAAAAAAAGCTTGGTATCTGTCAGACTTCCTTTCAGCTGCCCCCCTTCCGCGCAGACGGCCGTTCCCCGCTACCCCAGCCCGGAGCAGCTGACCCAACTCAGAATCTCTTTCCTACAGGATGAAGTGCCTTTTTGAACGTTATTTTCAGCTGAGAGTTAATTTTTCTACACAACGTATTTCCAGACATCTTTTAGTCTTTTATTGTCTTAGATTCTCTAAAAAGATAAAATGACAATTTTCTAGAACCTGGGGGGGAGGGGTGGCGAGGTTTGAGAGCAAGCCGTGGGAGCCCGGCCCCCAACGGGTGTGGCGGCCGGGCCGACCTGTGACGTGCCGCGGGGTCAGGCTCCTGCCAGGGCTGCGTGTGACCCATCCGTGTCTCCGCTCACTTCTGACTCTGGGGATGTGTCTGCAACCGCGTGGCTCAGCACTTCGGAAACAGTAGGTTGTTGTATGCTGTTAGGATTTTCAGTGGTGACAAATTGGTCTCAGAGACACGTTTTTCCTTTGAAAAGTGACATCCTGTCCCTTCCACTGTCACATTACTGCCATACTTCTGTGTGTTTTCTAGTTGTTGTAGTTGTTTTGGGTAGAGCAGTTACAAGAAACTGAAACCCTTGGATTTTTTTTTTAACTGTTTATTGATTTTTACATCTCTCCTTTCCAAAAGCTGGATGCAGGTGGAGCTGTTGGGGAATTTTCTTTGCTGCTACCGCGCTGCCACCAAATGGAACTGACCAGCGGCTGTTACACTGTTCTTTGCCACTGTGCCTATGCCCAGAATCTGCTCACTGCTGCGCTGCACACTTGGACAGGGTTAGAAACACAGGCGTCCCGCCCGCGGCGGACTGCGCCAAGGGCGCCCCTCCCCTGGCTCTGGCTGTGGGAGCTCAGAGGGTACAGGCAAAGGGCCAGCCCACCCCTCGAGGGTGGCGTTCATTTTAAACTGCATTCAACCTCAGAGCCTGGGATGAGCTGACTGTTCTCTCTGGAGAACCTGTGGCCTCAGCCATCCACCATGCTGACTTGGCCCAAGTCCGTCCCCCCTGGTCTCTTTTCAAGCACAGCCTCTGTCTGGGGGCGGGGGGACGGACCTGTGTAGATGTGAGTGGGACTCCTCGCCCCAAGTCAGGGAGAGAAAGGGCTCCCTCCCCGAGCCGGGGCTTCTTTTGCAGCCTTTCCCAGTGAGAAATTTTAAGCAGTGCCATGTTCGTTGCTTGACGACGAGACAGTCTGTAGAGTATTGCTCTTAAAAACAATGAAAAAGAAACCTTTCGTGTTGGCGCCACGGCCTTGGTCCTCTGTGGGCGGGCCTCCACCAGAGTGCTGGTGGGAGCAGCCGGCACTCACAAGACGGGGAAATGGGGTGTCAAAGTAAACTTGCTTTTCTGTTTTCATTCACAAAATAATGAAGCCAGTTGCCAATCACGTCTTCCCAACAGCACTTCGGTCTGTGGACTGCCTCGCGTTCAGAAGTGAGTATTCAGGGGTACCCCAGTCTCCCAGCGTTCTGAGTGTCGTAAACCCAGTAACCCACAATAGAATCGGCCCCCTGCCAGGTGTGACCACAGACAATGGCGGTGACGTGGCAGAGCTGCACGTGCCATAAACCTTGACCTGAGAAACTCGTCATTAAATGAACCCGCTGCCTTAAATGTCCTGAATGTTGCAGTCCAGTGTCTCGTCGTGTGTTGAAACCCACACAGCTCGGTCCCGATGGCAGCCATAGACCCTCGCCTGTGCCCCTTCTTTCTTGGGCATCGCGAAGTCTTGTTTGGAATGGGGAACAGAGAGGACAGAAATCCTAGAATCTTTCAGGGGAATAGAACCTAGAAACAGTGCCAGATGGAGTGGAGACACTCGGGGGCCTGAGCCGGACCCTTCACCTGGGAGCCCCCCGGACAGCGCACGCACCGACAGTGCACGCGCCCTGCGCCTCCCTGGCAGGGAGTCGGGGAGGGCGGAGCCGGCTCCCACCGCAGGGGCCGCGGGACCAAGAGGCCCTCTGAGGGTCCTGGGCTCTGTGCACCTGATTGGAACACACTCCAAAATTCCACTTTTATTTTCATTCTTCATTCTGTTTTATGTACATAATCAAAGTATCTATATATTTTTAATCATCGACATGTAAATGAAGCAATAGATTTCTAACATAAGGCCAAGAAATGAGATGAATGTTTGGGGTTTATGTTTTTTAAGGTAAATACGGGTATTGTTTTTAATTATTACCTTTTATTAAATCGTGGGCTTTAAAAACCTAATTGAAACCAATTAGAGATCTCTCTGTGCCATAGACTTCCCATGTTACCAAAACATCCCTAACTCTTTAGCCAAAAGAGAAATCTGACCTCCTGAGTCTCCACGGCCCCTTCTGTGCCAGGTTAAAATGTAGCCGTCTGGACCAATGTTTTTTTGCACAAAGATCTGGGAGAGGATACCGTGGGGCACGGACTCTGTGCTCTGTGATGCTCCGACATCTCCGGCGGGGCCTCAGTGCAGCCTGGGCGTGTCCGAGGTCGCTGCTGCTCCGTCTTGCAGTGCTCCAGAGCCCTGCGTGTCGGTCTGTGGTTTCACCGTTACTGTTTGTCCACTGACAAGGAACACCACCTGTCACTGCTGGTGGTCAGTGGGGAAGCTGCTTCGACGTGGCGTGCCTTCTGATGAGCTGGCTCTGAAGGTGACCCTGACTTGTCCTGGTCACAGCTCGGGAACGCGGGGTATCTGTAACTCCATATCCTGGCAACATTTTCCAACCCTGTATTCGAAAGATGGCTTTCTAATAAAAATCCAGAACCACACAGCCCTAGGGTCAAACACTCGTGACGTTTGTGCCTCTGCTTTTCAAGGTGCTGTGGTGGACAGTGGCGTGCCAGGGATCGAGAAGAGTGGGTGGCTTGAAGTTTCTTGCAGTTAGTTACCTGTGCCAAACGGACTGGCTGCCTCTGTTCCTTTTTTACTGTAACCTGATGGTGTCTGGTCCTGTTCCGTTCTCCAGGGGGCGCTTCTCTACAGACTAACCCCCGCCCCCACTCCCAAGGAGTGGAGATGCTGGTGTCTGGGTGGTCATGGATTTCTGTTGGACATTTGAATGTGATGAGCAATCCAGCATTACTCGGGAAGCACTACATGTGGAATGTGCACGTTTCCAGGGGCGAGCATTGTTAAGTCAAGAGATTTGCAATGATTTCCTTCCTGCCTGCCAAAAATAAACATGTAAAACTGCGCCCTCTTGTGGATGGACTGCTTCTCTTCCGGCAGCGCCTCTGCTTACTCCGTTCTCTATTCTCTATACCCACTGCCCAGCCTCATGCCTGCACCTTGGGTCTCTTGGTTCTCCAGCTTCTGGAGTTCGGGAGAAGGGCCGCAGGATCTCAGGAGCCCCAGACCTTGACCCCAAGGGGAGCAATAAGCCCATTCTGCTGCATGTTAGGCCCCTGGCTTGTCAGAAGCAGTCTGGCTCACCATCCTCTCACGAGGATTCCAGCCCTTTCTAAGTGCAGCCTGAGGGAACCACAGCCCCCACCCCACCCGAGGTGAGCCACCGGCCTGGTGTGTGCTATCCATGGCGCCCATGGCCCTTGGGCACACCAGCTGAGACACTGTGACTACTGTGTTCTGCGGCCTCCTGTCTGTCACAGGATCTGCTAGGCATGTTATTCATCTCACATGGCACAGGACCGTGTGTCAGCCCGGAAACCTGGAGTTTACCCAGAGACAAAGCCCAAACCCCAGCAGCTAGTCTGCGCTGTGCCCCAAGGTGCCCTCTCCACAGCAGAGCAGCCCAGCCTGCCAGAGAGGTCACCCCAGTTCCCGCCCGGGTTCTAGACTCTGGCTGCAGCCCTGGCCCTCTGTCACCTCTTCCCCATCCCTCTCCCTCTCCCTCTCTTCACCTTCTCTTGCCTCCTCTAGCATCACACCCCCCACCCACGGCTTCACACCTTTGCATGTGAGCAAATGGTTGGCGAAGCTGAGGTGTCCCCGTGAGGGTTCGCAGACCCTCTCACAGGTGGGAGGAGACAGCGGCCACTTATCTGGGACTTGGGCATACTGAGATTTCCCCTCCTGACCAGTTGTTTGGGGTTTTGTTTTTGTTTTTGAGCACTTATCATCAGTGTATATTCCAATACCAAGGAGTGGACCAGAAGCCCGGGAGGGTGGAGGAGGAGCGGCTGGGGAAGCTGGCCTCGGCCGACCGTCTGTTCAGCTTGCAGATGAAGGGCGCATTGGGCCTGTGGCAGAACCTTCACAGGAGCCTGGGAAGATTGCATGGCCAGAGCCTAGGCCAGGGCTGCCCATGGGTCAACAGGCAAATCGAGGCTTAGGGCTCCCACACTGGCCTGCCCACAAGCCCCACCCTCAGGAGGAAGCTGCGTGGGCTCCAGACCTTCCTGCCCCAAACCCCCACTACAGCTGCACCTACTGGCCCAGAGATCCGCAGCTCTGGCTGCCCATTAGACTCACCAGACGGCCCTTCCGAGTCCAGAGCCCCAAGGACCTGAGGCCATTTAACCCAGCTCTCTGAGCGTGGGCCTCAAAGGTGCAGCCTGGGCTGAGAACCCCGCTGTGACCAGCCACGGAGGAAATGAAAGTCCCCCCAAACTGCTCCAGGCCGGACACCCAGGTGTGTCCAAGAAGCTTTCCCGAGGCAGGTGTGGGGAAGGGCCCTGAGAAGGCCCCTCGTGACTAACCGCTCCCTGCTTTCACTCTGTGTCGGGGAGCAGAGCAGGCATCCCAGCCGGAGCACTGGGTCACACCGCCCCCGGAGCGAAACCGAGACTGTCCTGCTCCAGCCGGGTCTGGCCGGGGTGGGTGCACCGCTGAGCCCGGCCATGGTGCCAAAGGCGGCCCCACCTTCCTCCTTTGCAGGGACCTAGACTGTTCGTGGGTCCGAGGCCCTGGGCACTCCACACCACCCCTCAGTAGTGGCCCCACAGGCACAGCCCCACTTCAGGCCCTGGGGGTCTCACAGCACCCCCGCGGAGTCGCCCTCAGGCTGTGGACGCCCCAGGGGCCGGGCCCCTGCTCCTCCGCGGCTTGCAGCCAAACGTGGGGCACCCATGCGAGTGTTTATCCAGACGGTGGAATCCAGTACCCGAGTCAGGCGACCCACCTCCCACCCCACGCTCTGCGCTGCGGAGGGGCGCACTCCCCGCCCCTACCCCGCAGGACCGGGACTCCAAGAAGGGCAGGTTCTGCAAGGACTTAAGGGAGACCAGGGAAGGGGGGGCGGGGCCTGGGGTGGGCCCGGCTTAAAGCACCTGCCCCGCCCACTCTGGGCTGCCCAGCCACCTTTGCCAACATTAACCTCAGTGGGCTGGGCCTTGGAAGATAAGCCGGAAAGGAACAAAGTAACGGGGCAGAGCCCTCAGAACCGGCGGGGCCAGGGTTGGGGTGGGCCACAGGGACCTTGGGGCCGGAAGAGGTCAGTGGGACCGAGGAGTCAAGGCCAGGACGGTGCAGGCGGAGGCAAGCCAGGTTCAGTGACCTTCTGACGACTCCAGGCCCAGATCCGTGGGAGGGTGGCCAAGCACGAGCCAGTGGTGGAGCCCCCTCCGTGCTCTCGAAGAGGAGCTGGGGGAGGGAAAGGCGAGGCACCGCCTCCTCCCTGTTGCACCCTGCCCGCGGACACCCCCCAGGCCCCAGTTTCCTCTCTCTGTTCCCTGGGTGTGATCCTGTGAGCTGGGGGTTGACCCCGCCAGACACAAAGCAGCGTTGCTATCCTTGTCCCCAGGCTGGGCCCTCGGTCCCTCTCTCCAGGGCCTGGGGTCACAGGGTGGGGCTGCTCTGGGAAGGTAGTTAGGCCCACCCAAGATCTTCAGGGACCCACCAAATTCTGAGGGCGAGGGGGGCTTGGAGAGGTCCTTGTGCCCCCTTGCTAAGCGGCCAAGGCCGGGTGGTGCCAGGCAGGTGACCTGCCCACCACAGGGATGGCCGTGATCTCCGCTGCCTTCTCAGGCGAGGAAATGTCAGCTCGGAAACAGCCTGAGAATGTCCCTAAGGTCACTTTAGCCAGGGTTGGAACCCGACCCTGGTGACAACTTCCAGTGCCCGGCTTCAGGACAGAGCCCAGCAAAGGGTCCAACACACCGCACCAGGCCGGGCACCTGCACCTGCACAGGCCACCGGAGCACATCAACAATCAGTTACTCAGTGACCGCAGTGCACGGGGCTCCCTGGGGACGCAGATGCAGCAGGGAGCAGGGCCCTGCCACGGGGCCCCCTCTGCCGCTGGGAAGGCCAACGCGGAATGAGAGGGCCCATCGATTCGGCTGTCGGCTCCCGGAAGCACGAAGAAGGTGGAGGAAAGAGAGAGTGTCTGAGGGGAGAGGGACCGCCCTGCCTAAGGTGGTCAGGGAAGGCCCCTCTGGCCAGAATGCAGAACAGGTGCCTTGGGGGAAATCTAGGGGTGAGGCTCGCGGGCTGAGGGAGCAGCAAGTGCAAAGGCAGCTAGGACGGAGTGAGTGTGATGGGAGGTGCAGCCAGGGGGACAGGCAACGGCGAGTTTATTTTCGGGAAGCCTCTGGAAGGTTGGAAGTAGGAGAGAGAGGTGTGATCTGATTGATGGTTAAAAGATCCCTCTGGCTACTTGGGGCCTGCGGAGACTGAAAGACCCCGAGGGAGGCTTGTGATGCCAGCCAGTGAGAGAGGCCGGCCCCAGAGCAGGGCAGGAGTTGTGAAAGGGCTGGCCGGGCTCGGGGTCCAGGGTGAACCAGCCTGGCCGGTGTGGGTGAGGGAGGGAAGGAGGGGAACCCAGGACTGCTCCCAGGTTTGGGGCCTGAGCACCCAGCTGGATGTTCCCGCCATGCCCTGGGGCTCCAAGGAGGTGGATCGGAGAGGGGCCAGGTGTGGGGCCAGGTGTGAGGTCAGGTGTGGGGGCCAGGTGTGGGGCCAGGCGTGGGGCCAGGTGTGGGGCCAGGTGTGAGGTCAGCAGGGCTGGGAGTGATGAGGAGACAGGCGAGGTCTCCTGGAGACCTGGAGTCTTGCTGGGCCAAAGGGAAACGGGGAACAGGTGTGCGCGGGCGGAGCCAAACTCACAGGCCACGTGCGGGGGCAGAGGGCTAAACAGGCATTCTCTCACACACGAGGTCAGACACACACACAGGAAGCAACCGAGTGCGCTGTGACACCGGTATCCACACACGGGGACCCATCACTCCGTCTAACACGGTCACACGCTGCCAGCAGGTCCTGCTGGGCTCAGACAGCCCAGATTTCCCACAGTGTCCCCACCCCCCACCCCACCCCACCCTGCGACAAGGAGCTGAGGAGGGTGGACGTGGGGAAGGACAGAGTCTCAGGGTCAATGGCAGGTTTCTGCCATGTGTCTTCAGCAGAGCATCTGCACTGGCTGGGCTGTAGCTGGGACCAAGGGCTAAGGTACAGGGTGGCCATGACCCTGGAGTGTCTAGAAGGTTCTCTTTCTAGCAACTTCCCGCCCACAGTCAGGAAGGAAAGGAGGGGGCAGCCCGAGGTGTGGGAGCGGTGCGTCTCGGTAAGAACGGACAGCCTCTCCCAGGCTGGGCACTGGGGCTTCCGGGGGAGGGCTGGGCCAGGCATGAGCCAAAACTGGGGGTGGGGGGGACAGCAGAGATGTTGGAGAGAGCCCTGGCCACCTCCCCCACCTTCTGAAGGGACCTGGGTCTCGCAGAGCCAGACTCTCACTCCCTCCCCCACCAACCTTGGCCCTACTTCCTACCAAAATTTGCTGGGGTGGTCTGGCCTTCTGGGGGTCAGGGATCAGAGAAGGGGAGTCACAGTGCATTTTACAGGCACGGTTGGCCTGTCCCCAGCCTCTATTCCCCACTCTCTCTGGCCACCAGTACCCAGGAGGTGTGGCCTGGCCGACCAGCCACGCCCTGAGAAGGGGGCTGACTCTCAGGGAGCTGGGTCGATATTTGTTGACTGACTAACAGATTGACCAAGTTTGGAGGCCCAGCCGGCCAAGCGGCGGGGTGTGTCCTGCAGGGCGGGAGCAGGGATTGAGTTACAGAGGAGGGGGAGCGGTGGGCAGAGCCAGCCCAGGGCCAAGCCCAGCACTGCCCACAGGCAGGGCGAAGGTGCCAGCAGTTGCCAGCAGGTAGGTCTGGCAGGGAGGGGGCACTGAGCGTAGCTGGGTCGGGGGGCTTTGGGGAACCGGGCAGGGTGGGTCTGTGAGTCAGGGGTGCACGTGTGGGGGCACGGGCTGAGGGTTGGCAGAACTGGGGAGGCAGCGGGGAGCCCGGCGAGTGAGGACACTGGTGGGGACAGGGAGGGGCCACTGACAAGGAAGAAAGTAGCAGCTGTACTCGGCTGGGGGTCTCCACTGCCGCAGAGTCAGGACACGGGGACCCAGGCCTGGCCCTCGGTTCCTCCACCCTGCAGCCAGCACCCCTCCCCCTTCTGGGAAGCTGAGCAGAGTACCCTCGGGGTCCACCTTTCACAGGTATCTCAGGAGGAGGAAGTCGAGCCCCTAGGGAAAGAAAAGGGCGCTGGGGGGAGGCAGGCAGTGTCCGGAGGAGGCAGGAAGCACTTCGGTGGAAGGGCAACCAGGGGAAAGGGGCGCATTGGAGGGAGGGGTGTGTGAGGAAGCACCTGGAGGAAGGGGGGCACTGCGGGACGGGAGGGGGTGATACCAGAGAAGGAACTGGGCGGGGGCGGAGGAGGCCCTGACCGAGGGAGCCGGCCCCCACGCAGAGGAGGTGATGGAAGGGGGCGCCCCAGGGGAAAGAGGGACATCGTGGGGGAGGGGGCTCCCTGGACGGGGAAGGGACCTCCTGAGAAAGATAAGAAGGGGTCCTAGGGGAAGAGGGGCCCCATCCTTTGAGCATCCCTCCCCCACCCGCCCAGAACTCAGCTGGAAGACGCTGAGCACAGGTTACATGGGGCCGAGGGCCGTGGGCCCTGGGACCCCGGGAGTTGGGCCCCCTGGGCTGGCACTGGGGATGGGGGCACCCTCGCAGCCCCACCCCCGGCGCGATGCTGTCTCCACCCTGTGGAATCAGCCCAGTCCCAGCTTTCCGGCCACAGTTTGGTGACCACAGGGCTGAGGCCAGCCAGTCACCCTGTCACCCTGTCCCGTTTCACAGTCGTACTCTCTGCCACTCAGAGTTGTTGCCTCTGCTCACGGCTTCTGCCCCCTCACCTCTGAATGTCACGGTGCCTGTCACCTGGCGTCATCGCATGTTTTCTGTTGCTCAAAACCACCTTTACGTGGTCACCATGTCTGCCAGTCACTCATGTCACCCTCATACCAACAGGCCATCAGCTGCAACAGCCGTTCTCGGCACGGTGACGCCTTCTCCACTCACTTTCGCTCAGCGCAGTGCGGGCCACGGGTTCATCCATCCAGCAACCACTTGCTGACTACCTGCCAGGGTCGGGCAGCTGGGCGGTAAGCAAGACAAGCCCCAGGCCTCAGGAATCCACACGGAGGGTTTACGTGGTCTCAGAGTGTGTTCCAAGGGGTCCCAGGTGTCAGTAATGTCTGCCCCCTCTCTCAGGGCTGCCCTTTCTGCCCACCCTGCTCTGGGCATCCCCCCCCCATTCCTACCCTCTCCCTCCCACACTCCCTCAGCCGCCTTCACCCTCTTTGTGGAGGGTTGGGTGTGTCCCACGGTGTACTGCTGTACTGCGAGCTCACCAGGGCCTGAGCCCTGCCCCTGGACGCCACTTTGTTTCACCTGTCACTTCTGCCTCCGCTTCTGTAACAGCGTATCTCTGCTCTGCTTGCTTCCCCCGGACACGCAGGGTCAGCAGAGCTCAGACATTCCTCCCACTGATAAGGTCCAGTGGGGTGGGACTGGGACGTGACCTAACACTGCACCAGGGCCACTAGGAACGAGAAGTTCAGGGCGAAGGGGCTTCTGGGTCTGGTGAGCAAAGCAGCAACAGGAGGAAAATCCCGGCGGCAGGGTTAGATGTAGGGAGACCTTCCATGGATGAAGGAATGAGCAAACCTCACACAGAGGCTTCTGACAGAGTGGTGCCAGGAAGCCTGGGGTGGTTGAGAGTCACCTGCCAAGAGGTAACAAAAGGGAGAGTCCCGGTCCTCCCCCAAAACCTCTCATTTCACCCTCCTCTGGCTCCTGTGCACCCTGAGAACCTCAGAGCACAAGCTCAAGAGGACTGAGTCTCTGTCTGCAGAGCCCGTGGCTGTTTGCGGAGCCTGTGTGCATGACCAGCTCAGCTCTGTTTCAAGAATTTGAGCGCGTGTGCCCACCGTGCCCAGCCCGCTCAAGTCAGCGAGGCCTGTCACTTGCTGCCGTCTGCCACCGTCTTCAGAGACAGTCCTGTGTTCAGAGTCTGTCCCGAGTCTGCAGAGCTTTGTCTGGTCCACAGAGCCTGTCCTGTCCTGGGCCTACCCTCAGGGTCTCTTCTCAAACCCGGGTCTGTTTAGACAGCTGTCCCCGTTTCCCTGTGTATGAGGCTGGCTCGGACGCCAGGAGCCGCCCGGCACGTGCCGCCGGGCCCTGTCGGCAGAGCGTGTCTGGTGTCCTTGTGGAGGAACCCTCTTTCTGCCTGTGGACACTTCTCCTGTTTGCAACGCTTTGCCTGTGGGAAGCACCTGTCCCCGTCAGCAGGAGCTCGTCCCTCTGCCCTAAGCATCTATCCCGAGACGACATCCCTCTGGGCCTGGTTCATCTGCAGACCCCGAGCCCTCTTTGTCCATCCTGTGACGTGTGTCCCAAGGCCTCTGCTGAAACAGTGTCTGCCTGCAGCACCTCTTCTTACGAAGAGCTTACCACCACCAGGGTCGTTGTGTCCACCTGGGAGCACCTGTCCCTTTCTGCAGGGCATGGCCCAGTTTGCAGAGCCTGTGGCTGCCTGCACACGTCATTCCCAATTCCCTGGGTACCTGTTAGCAGAGGTTCCCACTCACAGAGCAGTATCTCTTCCCAGAGCTCGTCGTTTGCTAGGAAGGCAGTCCCCGTTTGCAGAACCCGGGCTCTCTACAGAACCCGGCCCTGTTTCAAGAGCTTGCCTGTGTCTGGGGCTTCTGTGCGTGACCACAGAGCCCATGTCCCTGCCAGCGGCTTTCAGCAAACCTGCCGTCTCTGAAGAAGCTGCCCCTGCTAACAGAGCCCGTCTGTGTGCAGGGCCTGTGTGGGCTCAGCCCACACAAAACCTCTCCCTATCTGCAAAGTCTGTCTCTAGGGGCTGTCGGCAGGGCCTGTCTTTTTCCAGAGCTTGGATCTCATTGTCATGTTCGTGAATGTTTGCCCAGCCGGCTCCCACCTCCCTGGAGGCCGGCTTCACGTCTGCCTCCCGAGGCTCTCCCTGCGCTCGGAGCTTGGCAGTGCCTAGGGAGCTCTTGCCTCTTTCAAGAGGCTGCTTCTGTCCACGAAGCACTTCTCCAACTGCAGATACGGTGCCTGTGCGTGCACCTTGCCTATCCAGCTCCCCATCCAGGTCTGCAGACTGTCCCTTACGCAAGGTCTGTCCCCGTCTTAAGGGTTGGTCCCCATTCACATTTCGCTAAGCCCTTCCCAGTCTGCAAAGCTCCTCCATCCCTGCAGAACCCGTGGTTGTTTGTAGAGTCTTTTTCAGTGTGCACACACTTCACTCGTTTGCCGGCCTGTCCGAAATTCCCCAGGTAGGCTGTGCGTCTCTGCACGGGCCCTCCTTGTGCGCGCAGGCGGGCAGTCCCTGGCTGCAGACCTTGTTGTCCTCGGGAGAACCCGTGCCTGTTGCATCCTGCTGTCCCGCCTAGGCAGGCTGTGGCCGGGGTGGCAGAGCCTGTGCCGGTGCACAGGGCTTTTCCTGCCCACACATCCTCCCCGTCCCTCCGCATCGCCTGTTCCTCATGCTCTGGGAGACCTACGCCTGTCAGCAGCTCTGCCCCTGTTTGCAGAGCCGTCCCCGCCGGCAGAGTCTGTTCTCTCCAGCAGAGCCTTGGCCCGTCTACAGGGCCTGTCACTCGGCCCACAGTCACTGTCCTGACTGGCCATCCTCTGTCTGACTGTCTGTCTGCCTGCACTGCCTGTTTTGCAAAGCTTGTCCCTATGTTCAAAGCTCAGAGGGACAGAGCTCAGCCCTGTTTCGGGAGCACAAGCACGGATGACAAGCCAAGTCCCTGTTGGCAAAGCCTCTCTGCCGACATCTGTAGTGCCTGTCCCGGTTGGCCGGCATTTGTGCATTTATAGTCTTCCTCACAAAAGGCACGAGCTATGATGAGGTGCTTTGGAGAGCTGCAGGCAGGGAGAGTTCTTGCTTGGAGGCCAGGGTCTGCGAGCTCTGGCTCTCGTTTTTTTTCCTCACTCCGGTCTGGCCTAGGATGGATGTCATGAGCCTCCCAGCCATCGAGAGCCACAGGGACCTCCACATCTGGATCGTTGAGGTTGGACTGACTGCAGCGCTGGCGCGGGGGTGTGGTCTCTGAAGTGAGGCTTCTCCTGGGCCTTGACTCGGAGCTGGTCCCCCGACCCCAGAGGGCCAAGGGTGCGGGTTGGGGGGAGGGTCTCCTGAGGGGTCACTGGGCACCTTCCTACGCCAGAACCTGGAGATGGTGCCGGTACCCGAGAGGGCTTATGGGAACTTCTTCGAGGAGTACTGCTACATCGTCCTCCACGTGAGTGGTGGGGAGCCTGAGGGCGTGGCGTGGCCCAGCCGGGAAGCTGGATGGTGCAGCATAGGGTCCGCCCTGGGAAGAGGCCTGCTGGGGGCCCTGGGATCCCATCCCACAAGGGGGCTGCTGCCTCTGAGGCCACTCAGCCCTTTCCTCCCCATTCTGGATCCCCTGCCCAGTCTCCACAGGGTCCTTGCACATCTTGACCTTAGTGTCCCCTCATGCCTTGGCCCTCGGCCCCTCCCCCACCCTGGAACCTCAGCTCCCTCCGCCCCCGCCCCCACCAACACCTGGGCCCTAGGTCCCCCAGAATCTAAAGGACACGCAGGGGGCATTCAAGGACTTGCACTACTGGATCGGAAAGAAGGCGGACGCGGAGGCCCAGGACGTGGCTGGCAGCTTCATGCAGCACCTGCAGGAGGCGCTGAGTGGCGCCACAGTGCAGCACCGAGAGGTGCAGGGCCACGAGTCCGACTGTTTCTGCAGTTACTTCCGCCCAGGGATCATGTGAGTGAAGGGCTTGGGGGCGGGTGGGGGCCGGATTGAGGGGGAACAGGGTGGTGGGGTGGCCTGGGTGACCTTCTCTCTCATCCCTCGTGTGTGGAGTGCTTGGGGATGGCTAACGCCTTGATTGCAGTACAAATCGCACACCATCCACTCACCATTTAAAGCGTGCAGTTCAGTGATTTTTAGTGTATTCACAGACTGTGCAACCAGCACCACAGTTTCAGAGCATTTTCATCCCCACAGAGGGGCCCCATACCCTCCAGCAGCCACTCCCCGCTCCCCCGCCCCGTACTCCCTGCCCCATCTGTGCAGATCCGCCTGCTCTGGGCATGCCCTGTGAATGGAATTACATAACGTGAGATGGATAAACTGCGTTTTATTTGTGTTCATCATGCAACGGACATCTGAGTTATTTCCACTTTCAGCTGTCATGGATAAGGCTGGTGTTAACATTGTATGCGAGACTGTCTTGTTTTCCAGTTTTGCTGAGGTGTAATTGACATACACCACCCTGTAAGTTTAAGGCACATGGCGTGGTGGTGTGACTCACGTGTGCTGTGAATGATTGCCACTCTCAGCCTAGTGGACACCCGCTATTGTGTACGAGCATTCCTATGGACATTGGTTTCCCTTTCTCTTGGGTGGACACCCATGTCGTTTTGAGTTTGCTTTTGTGTTACTGGGCCCAATAGAAACATGTCTTTTCCTTTAAACTGTTTCAAATATGTATTAAGTTAGTAGTTGCAGTATATTAGGTTGAACCATAGCAAATCGCCAACACTCAATCATTTCCGTTTTATACACTTAAACCTAATACATGCATATAATACACACATGAACACATGCATATATGCACATACAGGAAACATTACTTTGCTATGTGTTCACCTGCCGGTGGGCACACCCACACACATGAATAGTCATGCCCGCCTACACATGCATGTGAACACCCATGTCCACACACATGTTTTCCTGGTTCCCGCACACTCACACATGCACCCACATGGATAAACAGATGTGCAGACTCCCACTTGTCTACAAGTGCATCACATGTGCACATGCAGTTGTGTGTACATGGATGTATCTGTATCTGTCCACGTGGACAGACACACCATGCCCACTGGTATACATGTACATATACATGTACATGTCTCCATATTTACACAGAAGCACACACATGCTCCTGCCCTGTGTGTGTATCCATGCACTTGTGCACATGTTTGTAGCTACGTGCACACGTGCATTGAGCCGGCACGTGTGTATTCCCACATGTGTGCGTGCATGTGATTGCATGTGCCTGCATCTGCATTCCCTCCTGCACGTGGCAGTGCATGGCCTTACAGAGGACCCCATCCCCCCCAGCTACCGGAAGGGAGGCCTGCCCTCTGACCTCAAGCACATGGAGACCAGCATGTACGGCATCCAGAGGCTGCTGTGTATCAGAGGGCGGAAGCATGTGTCAGCCACCGAGGTGAGGCACCAGGGGTGCACTTGACCTCTGTTTCAGCTCAGACTTTGTGAACTGAAGTATAGGGACATGCGGGGGGGCCAGGGAAATGGGGGGCCCACGGCCGTCATCATTCCCAGATGGCCTATCTCGTTGTTAACTTTATTTTTCAGTGACAGTTGAAATACAATGTTATATTTGTTTCAGGTGTACATATGGTGATCAGACATTTGTGTAACTTACCAAGTGGTCACTCTGTGAAGTCTAGTCCCCAGTCCCCAGGTGGTCTCTCTTGAATGAGAAGAGAGAAAGCAGAGCTGGCCGTGGCTCCCCTGACCCTCTGTTTCTTCATTCATCTCACGGCTGTTAAGAACTTGGGGCAGTACCAGGGGTCCGGCAGGGGGAACATGGCCAGACAAGATGTCATACCTTGATGGTTCCTATAAGTAGTACAAGGGGAAGAAGCATGATTTTGGGAGAGGGATGTACACAGCCCCATGCTCTCATATACATTGTCGTTGTCACTCACAGGCACACACAGTGTCTCCCACTGTTACCCCTGGGGCCACTCTGGTCCACTGAGTGCCCTTGGGCCATGGAGAACAGAGTGCACCTGACCTTCCCAGATCAGGAAATTCTAGTCTTGGAATTCCAGACATGCCAGTCTTGGGGGAACAAGACATGGTGCTGCTGTCTGGCAGGCATGTGTTGTGGTGAAGTCAGGCGCCTGATGTCTGTGGTGTGCTTGAGCCTGAGCATCTGTGCCACTCTCTGCATGGCACGGAGCAGCCCTGTGACTCAGAGACGACCCCACACAGCTTCACACGCTGTCCCCTGCAGATTCAGTGACCACACATCCCTGGTCATGCAGAAATGGCCCCCAGGTCTTGCCTGTCACCCTGGTACAATGGTCTAAGTCTCCCCTCTCTCTGTCCGGAAGGTAACCAGGCTTATCCACGGATAGCACACTGCTCCCCACGTGGGCACATGTGCACTGTCACCCATGAGCACACACACTTGCTCATATTTGGTGTACTCTTGCCTGTGTGTGCATACACATTTACATACAGTAAACACACATGCACCCCAATTACACACACATGTACAGCTACAGACATGCACTGAGTGGAAAGTGTCATACTCTGTGTTGTGCAGTAGTATCTACAGTCACACATGTCTAGAAATGCACATGGCTGCGGCCACTGAGCAGCCCTCAGTGTGTCACACGGTCACACAGACACATGACCGCACACCCTGACAGTAGTGTTATGGTCACACAGACACACAGGTGCACAGGGCCTCGTGCAAATGATACACTCGAGCTGTGTTTGCCTAGGCTGGGACTGGTTGCAGTTCCCCTGCCCTTGGGTGCTGGTGGTAGGACACACTGTCCCCCTCCCTTCCCCTCATGGCTCTGGCAGGTGGAGCTCTCCTGGGAAAGCTTTAAAAAGGGTGACATTTTCCTGCTGGACCTGGGCAAGGTGATGATCCAGTGGAACAGGCCCAAGACCAGTGTCTCCGAGAAGGCTCGGGTGAGTGTCTGCCCTGGGAGGGGAGGGGCACGTGAGTGGGGGAGGGGTGGTCCTCCAGGTGCCCATCCTCCGTCTGCCCCAGGAGGTAGGCCTGGCTCTCCGCTGCCACCTGAAAAACAACTACCAGGTGCAAGCTGAGTCAGACCCTGCACTGCTGGTACCTCTGGGTGCCAGCTAAGGGTCCACCTGCCCCAGCCTCTGGGAGTGGAGCAGTGAAAGGGAGGATCTGGGATGCTGTCTGAGGCGACAGGAGGCATGCTGGGGGCGGGGCCTGACTGCCAGGTCCTCTCCTGCAGGGCCTGGCCCTGACCTGCAGCCTCCAGGACAGGGAGCGAGGGGGTCGTGCCCAGATCGGTGTAGTGGATGATGAGGTCAAAGCCGCTGGCCTCATGGCGATCATGGAAGCTGTGCTGGGCCGCAGAGCGGGCCACACGTACGCCGCCGAGCGGAAGGAGAGTGCTAACCAGCTACAGAAGGCCCACGTCCACCTCTTCCAGTGAGCAGACCTTGCGAGTGGGCAGGGTGGGCAGCGTAGGCGGGCGGCATGTCCACCACTACAGCAACACCACAGGGTTTCTGGAAAGCCCTCCAGAAAAGGCTCGTGGGTTTCTGGGCAGGCAGGTGGGACCTTGTGCCCAGCCTGTGCTCTTGCATGACAGAAACCCTTCGTAGGGACAGGGCAATGAAGGCCCTGAGAAGGCCAGGTAGTTGCCTAAGGCCTCTACTCAGGGCCCCAGCCCCATGCCTCTGCCTCGGGGTGGGGGGTGGGGGGTAGAGCGGAGCCAGGCCAGGAAGAGGCTGAGCTGCCCACATCTGGACGCCTGTCCTTCAGTGTCTACGAGAAGGGTAAGGACCTGGTGATCCAGGAGGTGGCAACCTGCCTGCTGACCCAAGACCTACTTCATGAGGAGGTGAGGCAGGCCTGACCCCGGTCCCTCCACCCACCCCACAGCTCTACCCGGCCTGGACCCCCACTGACCAGCCCCACTCTGGCCCCCAGGACTGCTACATCCTGGACCAGGGGGGCTTCAAGGTCTATGTGTGGCAGGGACGCCAGTCTAACCATCAGGAGAAGAGGGCCGCCTTCAGCTGGGCTCTGGTGAGGCTGTGGGGCCCTGTCTCAGAGGGACAAGGAGGCCGCGCTGTCCTGGGGCCGGAGGAAGGAAGCTCCCACCCCGAAGTCTCACCAGGAGGCATCTCTGTCTGGGGGTCTGAAGAGAGAAGCCGCCCTGCCCTGGGGGCCTGTCTGGTGGAGCTCCGGGCCCTGCTGGGGCCTAGGCCAGGAGACAAACCTCTTGGTCTGAGGGAGGAGAGACAGCTCTGCCCAGGGGGCGAGGGGAGTGCAGGGGCTGTCTGGGGAACTGGAGGCCTGTGGCCGGCCTGGGGTGCCCTGAACAGGGAGGTCTGGGGGGATCCAGTTAGCACCCGAGAAACTGTCAAAGGACCAGGTGGCCCTGCCTTGAGGTCTGAGACACCTAGTGCATGGGGGCCCCTCCTTTTCAAGGATGGGAGACCCAGCTCAGCCAGGGGTCTGACGAGTTGTCCCAGCTGGCCCTTCCTGAGGCCCAGACAAAGGGGACCCTGCCTGTCCTCAGAGACCTCGGAGAAGCCGGTAGTGGCAGAGCCAGCTCAAAAAAGCCAATCTGGAGCTCGGTGAATGACCGCTGCTCAGTGCTCCGCTGGCCTCGCTGCAGGAGCATCAGGTCCCCCCGGGGGGAAGGCGCAGTGGGCCCCACCCCGGCACAGGCCTGACAGAGCCCCCGCCCCAGGGCTTCATCCAGGTCAAGGGCTACCCGCCTCACACCAACGTGGAGGTGGTGAGCGACGGCAAGGAGTCCGCAGCGTTCAAGCAGTTATTCCGGTCCTGGTCTCAGGATGCAGGAGGAAACAAGGAAATGGGCAGGATCCGTAAGTGGGAGGGGCGCGCCTGCGGGGGGCGGGGCCCTTGGGAGCAGGGCTGAAGGGGCGTGGCCTGGGGCGACACCCGGAGCCTGGGCGGGCTGGGTGAGGAGGAGGCGTAGCTAGAGAGAGCTTCTTGAAGGAAGGGCAGGGCAGGTAGAGACAGGTGAAAGGGCCTGTGGAGCCACGAGGGGCAGCAGGCACCAGTGAAACCCTCTGCCCCATCCTCAGGTAAACTGACTCAGGTAAAGCTCGACATGGGCAAGCTGCACAGCCAGCCCGAGCTAGCAGCCCAGTTCAGGATGGTGGATGACGGCTCCGGGAAGGTGGAGGTGAGGCGCACTGATTGGCTGGGCGCAAAGGAAGTGGGCGGGGCTGGGCACACGTGGTAGGCTTTGTTTTCAGGTGGCCCAGCTCCTCTTGAGTGCACACCTGCACACCCAAAGGGACCCCAGGAGCCCGTGTCCTATACACGCGCCCTCCTGACAGCGGGCACATTCAATCACACCTAGTCCCTCATGCACAGCCATGGCCAGCCGCTCCCACGACGGGCACACTCAGACACTCACGTGTGCCCTTTTGCCATATGTATGACACAGCCATCTGTAGGATAACATGTACACACACACACACTCACACCTTGTCGGTGCACTTAATCACAGCCCTGTGCACACCTTCGAGAGTTCTGCATCTCACCTGATTGGTCACATACAACCAGGATCCCACAGGGACACACCAGCCCCCAACACCCAGTCATTACAAGATTACAAGATACAGTCATGTAATCACAGGCCCACACACCCAGCCCCCAACACACAGTCACACACTGTCAGCCTCGTCTGGTCTCAGACCCAACGGGGTCTGGGACCCCCTGGGAGGGGCTGGGGACCACTCCCAGGTTTCGTACATGGAATTGAGTTGCTCTTGACCTGTTGACTGAACTCCTGGGCAGAGCCTCTGATTCCTTTGGGCCTCTGTTTTTTGTTTGTTTGGTTTTTGTGTTTCTATAAAATGTGGGCAAAAGCTGTGGTCCCATCTGGGCCCAAGGCCGGGGATGCTGTGAGATTCTGGGACTGCTGGGCTTGTGTGAGGAGTTCTAGTTCTCAAGGTAGGTCAAGGTCAGAGAAAATGTGTCTCCACGGTTTTCTCCTACAAGTGCCCTGATATGGGTGGACAGAAGTGGTAAGTGAGGAGAGCCAGAGATAGGAGGAGACAGGGCAAGGCAGGGAGTAAGGAAGGGGAGAGCAGGGAGAGAGGAAGACACAGAAGGGGGACAGGAAGAGACAGGGGAGATGGAGAAAGACACACAGGAGGGAGGAGACAGAGTGCTGGGGGCGGGGAGCATGGGATGAAGAGCAGGGGGAGTGGAGCACAGCCAGGGAGCTAGAGAGGGAGACCCGAAAGCAGCGGGTGAGTGGCAGTCAAATAGGGAGAAGCCCCAGCCTGGAGGCCTAGAGGCCAGGTAAGTGCTGCTCCCGGGTGGCAGGTATTCATAGTCAGACTCTTCTGCAAAAGGCCGGGTTCTGGACACACTGGTTTGCAGGAGAACCTCTCCAAAGGCAGCTGTCGGGCTCTGCAGGGCACAGATTGCCCAGGCTTAGTTTTCTGGTGTGTGGAGATGGACGTTGTTGCCCCCACTTCACAGGCTGGAAAAACTGAGGCTCAGAGAGGTCTCACTGCTGACACAGGCCACCCTGGGGTTTGACCAGGTGGCCTGTTTCCACAGCCCATGCTTCTACCCACAGGAATGAGAAGTCACGCCGTTAAGTGTGGAAAAGTGTATTCGTTTCCGTCTTTGAATAGGCTTTGTATTTTCAAGTGACACTTGAATAAAGGGAATTCTTCCAACAGCCCCAAGGCCTTGCTCCTGCCCAGCTTCTGCTGCCCTGGCCCGAGCAGCAAGCAGTTCTGCCAGGGCCTGTCTGCCCCTCATCCTTGCTGTGGCTGATGGGCTCAGGCTAGGGGTGGTGTGTGGCAGGGGTCAGGTTTGCCCTGGCAACCTCTGGAGTCCTCACCACTTGTTTGACCCGGGCACTCCATGCCAACTCAGAGTCCCAGCTGGGACCAGGCCAGCACAGGTGTGGTGGGTCCCAGGGCCCCGTGGGGAAAGGGTCACCTGCAGATCCTTGCACAAGCCCAGCACGAACACGGGGTAGCTGCAGAGTTAGGGGCGAGCTTTGTCCCTGCCCAGATGAGGCTGAGAAGGGCTTTCAGGCTGGGCACAGGGTGAGCTCAGCTGGAACAGCCACCTGTGCCTATCGGCCCCTGCTCCCCAGGTGTGGTGCATCCAGGACTTAGGCAGGCAGCCCATGGACCCCAAGCACCATGGACAGTTTTGTGCCAGCAACTGCTACCTTGTCCTCTATACGTACCAGAAGATGGGCCGCATCCAGTACATCCTATACCTATGGAAGGTACGCAGACTGGCAAGGGCGGGGGTGGGGGAGGGGGGAATGACAGGCACCTTCCAGGCTCAGAGCTGAAGATCTGACAATGGGATCTAAGAGTCGCTCCAGACCCCCACCAACCCTGTCTGCAGGGCCACCAGGCCACTGCACACGGGATACAGGCCTTGAACTGCAGTGCCGAGGAGCTGGACGTCATGTACCATGGGGCCCTGGTGCAAGAGTATGTGACCATGGCCAGCGAGCCGCCCCACTTCCTTGCCATCTTCCAGGGCCAGCTGGTGGTCTTCCAGGTAAGGACCCATCTTGGCCGCTGTGGTCACTGCCCCATGGCTCTTCCACGTGCCGATGACTCTCATATACGATGCTTAACCCCTCTTCAGGCCCACCTGACCCCTACCCCCACCTGGGCTTCCTGGTGCTTGTCTGAGAGCCAGGAGCTCTGAGGGTGTCCCCCAACTAAGTTTTTACCCCTGGTCCTCAGAGCCAGCCACAAAGCACAGTGCAGGTGAGGAAGTGTAACTGAATGGGAGCCAGGACCTCGCCTGGGATCACACATGGGCAGAGCTGGTCCCCATGTTCCACCTCTGAGCCTGGGGGACGAGGGGTCCATTTAGAAAGGTCTGGTTCCATCCCAGATGATGGGACCCTCACACTCCACACCCAGGGGCTCCACACAACAGTAGTGGCTTCAAGAACGGGATCCCTGGGCCTCGAGGCCGTGTGTCCCCCATTGGGGCAGGGAGGTGGCCCCTGGGAGCCCCTGCCCCAGCTGATGCCCAGCCCTCCTGTAGGAGAGCACCAGGCACAGTGCAAAGGGGCAGCCAGCATCCACCACGAGGCTCTTCCATGTGCAAGGCACCGACAGCTACAACACCAGGACCATGGAGGTGCCAGCCCGGGCCTCAGCCCTCAACTCCAGTGATATCTTCTTGCTGGTCACAGCCAGCATCTGCTACCTGTGGTTTGGGAAGGTACAGCCAGCACTGACCACTAAATTCACGCCCAGGGCAGTGGTGCCAGGCAGGGATAGGGCCACTCCACAGAAGACACGACTTCAAGTCCAACCTCAGATAGGCCTGGAGGGCGTGGGGTGGGGGAAATGTGACCCCTCTGGGACATGGGGGAAAGTGTAAAGTGACAGGTGGACCTGGGAGTCCACAGGTCAGAGCTAGGCTAGACCCGGCCTGTCTCCCCTTCTTCCTGCCGTCAGCAGGACGCTGCCCCTTCCCAACTCTCTTGGGGGAAGGAGGGGGCCTAGCTCAGCTTGCCAGAATTTTCTCTGATATAAAGCAGAGATGATATCAGCCAGAAATGATTCTCAAACCTAGAGGTCCCCAACCATGCCCTGGACCCAGAGAGGGCCTCGGTCCCTGTGACCCTGACCAGCTGGGGAGACAGACGGCGGCCAGGCGAGGCAGGAAGGTTAATCTCTTGCTTGCGTGAGCCCTCCCTTCATCCAAGGCCCCCTGAGACTCAGGCACCTGGGAGGGGGCTGTGAGGCTGGAGGTGAAGACCCCTCCCCTGCAGGGCCTGACCCAGCTATTTGCCTGCCAGGGCTGCAGCGGTGATCAGCGGGAGATGGCGCGGACAGTAGTCCCTGTCATCTCCGAGAAGGACAAGGAAACAGTGCTGGAGGGTCAGGAGCCTCCCCTTTTCTGGGACGCCCTGGGGGGCCGGGCCCCCTACCCCAGCAACAAGAGGTGACAGGGTTGGGAGGACGGTGTTCTGCTTACACAGAGGAGGAATCCAAGGCCCAAAGAGGGTGGGGTGATTAATTAAGGGCCACATATGGAGCTGGAGGGGCCATACAAGAACTGAGGACTCTTAGTTCCCCATCCCAGGGGCTCTGGAGCACAGCCCCCTCCACCCTTCACTCCCCAGCCCTGAGTAACTTGGATCCGGAAGATGCAGGAAGAGCAGGGCAGTGGTGCCCTCTGCTGGCTGAATGTGCTTCCTGCATTGTCCCAGTCCTGCACCATCCAGTTGGCAGAAGCCACTCTCCAACCCCACAGTCCCCAGGGGGATGGTGCCCTGTGTGTGTGTGTGTGTGGTGTGTAAATACGCAAGGGCGTATAGGGCAGAGTGAGACCTCAAAGGGAGGAGGGAGCTGAGTACCTCCACTCTGTATTGTCTGCATGGCCTGGTTTGTGCACCACCCTTCCCCAAGTCTCAGGACAAGTCTCCAGAGCTCCTAAGTACTGCTGTCCCCCCCTCTCAGCCTAACTTCCCCCTCCCACCTTGAGCCTGACATGGGACCCCAGCCAGGAATGGGCCCAGCAGCTGCTCTCCAGGGAGGTCGGGCTGTAGCTCAGGCCCACCCCACGAAGCCAGCTGTGCCCACTCCTGGGAAAACTCATGGGGCAGCTTGTACCACAGCTGGGCTGAGCTGGACGATCTCCTAGTGTGCTCTCTCCACTGACAGGGGCACTGAGGCCCAGAGAGGAGCAGGGCAGGGGAAGCTCAGAGGAGGGCCCAGCCCATGGTGTGGGGGCCCCTGTGCTGGGGGTAGCTGGGCCCCAGCTGCACCCCAACAGCCTTGTGTCCACCCTGGCCAGCCTCCCTGAGGACGTCTCTGGCTTTCAGCCACGACTGTTTGAGTGCTCCAGCCCGAATGGGCACCTGGTCCTCGTGGAAGTGGTGTTCTTTAGCCAAGAGGACCTGGACAAGAATGATGTCATGTTACTCGACACCTGGCAGGAGGTGAGGCAGCCACCCCTGTCTACTGTGGTGTGTGTGGAACTGGGTGTGAGCGTGCATGTCTGTGTGTGTCCCTCACCACAGGACTGCATGCGAGGCTGCAGCTGAGTCTCAGTGACAGCGTGACACTGGCTGTGTGCGACGGTGATCGTGAGGCCATGAGTGATGACCTCAACAAGCCAGCGAATGGCGGGGCGGTGCCAGGTGGCTGCCTGGGGCCGACGTGTCGATGTCAGTGTGTGTCAGTGTCATTTTCGCATGTGATACATTTGCCTTTGTGTGCGTGGCTGTGTGGACCAGCCGTGGGGCCTGGTAACAGCGCACCCAGTGAGGCTGTGTGTGGGAGACTGACCGGCCGTGGGTGTGAGTGACTGAGTGCTCGTGTGTCTGGGCAGTGGTTTTCTGGGCCACCTGTGTTTTCCAGGCTGGACGCGTGTGGCCGTGCGATCAAGTGTGGTTGTGCTTATGCGCAGCTGTGTGTGGCTACAGGTGACTGTGTGGCTGTGATTTGCTATCTGACTGTGGCGATGGATGGTTGTGTCTGTGGCATTGTCCATGACACTGTGTGAACATGAGGAGGCGCCCAGGCTCCCACGTCACTCGGAGCAGCACCAAAGCCCTTACCGCCGCCCCTCGTGGCCCAGCAGCCCTGACTCTCAGCCCGATCTGCTCCCCCTCTCCCGGTGCCTGCACTGCTTTGGCCGCAAGGGCCTTGTGCAGGGCCTCGGAGATGCCAGGCTCAGGGCCCGTGTGCTGGTGTGTCTCCTGGGCACAACACTCTCCCACCAGGCCTCCCGTGACTCACTCCCTCCCCTCCCTGAGATGTCACCTTCTCTGTAAGGCCCTCCCTGACTGTAAATTAAAATGACATCATCCCGCCATCACCACACTCATCTCTCCCTGCATTATTTTCCTCCATCTGATATATTGCAGATTTTACTTATTTTTCTGTTTCTTCCAATACAATGAGAGCTCTACAGGGGCAAGGATCTTTGTCTGTTTTTCCACTCATGAATCCTCTGGCCCTCAGTAGGCGCTATTTGTGGACTGAACGCATGCACATATATACCCGTGACCTTCTGGAGTGTTTATGGGTGTGTGGATACTGCGGCCAAACTGTGTGTGTCTGGTCTGTGTTAGGGGGGCTAAGATAAGACCATCCGATGGGCAGGGCTGGGAAGGAAGTGGGCAGCTCGGGGCAGCCTGTCCACCCACCCAAGGCCAGGCCCCTTCTGTGGCCCAGATCTTCCTGTGGCTCGGGGAAGCCGTCAGTGAGCAGAAGAAGGAGGCGGTGGCCTGGGGCCAGGAGTACCTGCAAACCCATCCAGCAGGAAGGAGCCTGGCCACGCCCATTGTGCTGATCAGGCAGGGCCACGAGCCTCCCATGTTCACCGGATGGTTCCTCGCCTGGGACCCCTACAAGTGGACCGTGAGTGAGGTCTGAACCCCCAGTCCTCCCAAGCCAGGGGAGAGGGGCTCACCCTGGGTAGACTGAGAGGAGGCATCGCCCTGCCTGGGGACCTCTAGTGAGGGCTGGGGAGACCTGGTCCCGTCCTCAGGCCCCCTCCTGGGTCCCACTGGTGCCCCTCCATCTCACCCCCACCCCTATTTTGCCGGCAGAACAACCAGCCCTATACAGAGGTGGTGGGAGGCAGGCTGGGAGCAATCTCTTCCATCTCTGAGATAACAGCAGTGAGTACTTGGGCCTCCCAGGCCCTCCCGGGGGTCTGGGCTCCGTTGGCGTGGTCCAGATGGGCAGAATGGGCAGGGAAGGAGCTGGCACTGGTAGGTGGCAAGGGCTACAGTTGCGGGCAACAGGGCCAGTGGGCTGTGTGGCCTCCCTGTGGGAGCCTGTCCCCCACCTTCCTCAGCCTGAGTCCCCTCTGTGGACAGGGAGTCAACAACTTCCAGCTGTCCAGATGGCCAGGCAATAGCAGCACAGGCCCCTTGGCCCTGCAAGCCTTCAGGGGCTCCCAGGACAGGTCAGAAAATGAGCTGGAGCTGAGCCCCAAGGTGAGCGGCAGCAGCACCGGCACCAGCAGCAGCAGCCCCAGCAGCAGCAGCAGCAGCGGTGGCAGCTCCCACAGCAGCCCCAGGTCCATGATCAACGGGGGCCTGTCCCGAGAACAGCTGATGTACCAGGCTGCCAAGGACCTGCCAGAGGGCGTGGACCCGGCCCACAAGGAGGTAGGTGCCCAAGACCCCCTGCCACTCACTGCCCCAGCACTAATGCACCATCGGGGGCTACACACTGACTGTGAGCAATGGGCAGGGTGCCCAGGCAGATGTGTGTTCCAGATGCCGTGATGGGCAGAGATGTGTGGGAAAGGAGAGCCTGGAGCCCTGGGGTGATGCCTCCGGCTGGGGTAGGATTAGGGGCTCAGTTGACACCCTCACCTGTACCCACCTCCCCCACCCTCACAGTTCTATCTCTCCGACTCGGACTTCCGAGATATCTTCGGGAAGTCCAAGGAGGAATTCTACAGCATGGCCAAGTGGAGGCAGCAGCAGGAGAAAAAGCAGCTCGGCCTCTTCTGAACCCAAGCCCTGCTCCGGCTTGGTGCCACTCCTGGGACCCGTCCATCCTGGGTACCTCCCCCACATGCACCTGAGCCCCCAGGGAGACTCCTGGGTCACCCCCTCCCTGTCAATAAAAGCTTGTGGCCCTCACAAGGGGTGGTATGCAGGCTTTCCAGGCTGGGCTACTCAGTAGGTCCACCTCTGGGGAAGGGGCCTCTGGGGCTGGAAGGGTGTGCGTCTTGCTGGTCCTGCCCCCTGGGGAGACAGACAGCGCCCTTCATACAGAGCGAGTGTGGGGAGGTGGAGAGTGAGGCACTGCAGTTCCGGGGCTCTGGGACATACACATGTGCGCACACTTGACAGGAGTTTTCTGGCATGCAGGTAAAGAGACCACGGGACTTAGTCTTAGGATTTTTATAAAAACCCTCACCGAGGGCCAGCCAGAGGGTGGAGAGAGCTGCAGCATTGTCCCTAAAGACACCATCGCAGACCCAGGGCCCGAAGAGGCTCCCGGGACCCTGGAGAGGCAGCCACACAGACGATAAGTTAGAGCTGAAGGCAGCATGGGGCCTCGAGCTCCGAGCTCTGCACCGGAGGTTGGAACAGCTGCCCCTGCCCTGCCCCTGGACGCAGACAGAGGCCTGGCTCACCCCCAAGCCTAGTCCTGGAGGGACACCTTCACAAAGAGGGTGGCAGATGGGTGCTGGTCTCCGTTCTTGGACAAGAGGTGGACATGGCGGTATCCTGGCAGGTGAGTGGGTGAGAAGGAGCACAGAGAAAGAGTTCCAGTCACTCAAGGAGGGTGCCTCAAGAAACAGCCACCCCAGCCCGAGAGAGGCCAGGCCCTGCCTGCCCCCACCCTGCCATCCCTGCAGCTCAACCAACACTCACCCTGCTTGAGGCTGTTCAGGGGGATGGTGCTCTGGCCAATGAAGTCGTTCTTGGAGGAAGCGTCGTAATCTTCTACCACAAAGCGCACGAGGGCAAGCTCAGGCACCGCCACCTCGAACTCGAGCTCCGTGTCCCACCAGGGGTTGAAACCTGGGGGTACAGGCATCACGTCAGCGGCATGGACACCGAGGCCACAGCGGGCCCTGCCCAGAGCCAACACGCACCATTATTGGTGACCACTGCAGTCTGGCGGCTGGCCATGTCCCGGGCCACGCCGTGGATCTCCACGGTCACCTTGGGGTCCACGATCGAATTCTTATTCTTATTGACTTTTGGCAACTGCTGCCCTGTGATAACCTGAGGAAAGGCGATGGACAATTAAGGGTTTGGGAATGGTAATGAGGGGGAAGGGAGACCCAGGGGATCCTGCCCCTTTGGTGGCTGGCCATACCCTGATATTGAGCCGCTTTGGGGTCCACCAGGGCCCCTGAGCCAGGTTACGTGGGTTGAAGGCAGAGTTGGGATCTCGCAGGAAGGCAGGCTTCAGCACGTACCCACAGGCCCCATTGTCCTGGAAGCGGCCCTGATACACGTCCATCTCTGCTCCAGGTGTCTGGAAGTTCAAGGCCACTACAGGTAGGACAGAGCAGTCACAGGCTGTGGGTTGGCTTCAGGGGCCCTAGAGCCCAGACTGCTCAGGGCACATGAGGACTTTGAGTCACACGGTGAGGCAGAAGCAGGGTCCAGTACCAGTCCAATGCCTACTGCAGTCCTCACTGACCCAGCACACCAGCCTCACGTTCCATTTCTGGTGCCAGAGTTCGAAGGACTAGTGGGCCGCCTATGGGGTTTCAGATGCTGCCTCACTGGTGGTAGGTGACTATTTCCAAATCAAGATCCACTCCCAAGGCCACAGATTTCTGCATCTGGCCCTGCTTGGGTCCCCACAGGCTCCTGCTCCCTGGCCCTCTGGACTGCAACCCTCCTCCAGGCCTCCTCCCAGCCCCAGCAGCCCGTACCGATCTGGCAGCCCCCATTCCACATCTCCACGGGGCTGTAGTTGGAGGAGTCCGTCCTCCACCCTGCAGGGTAGATCCTGCTCAGGTGGCTCACATTGTGGCGGATAAGGCTGTTTCCTAGGGCAGGGGGGTGGGGGCGTGGTCAGAAGTGGAGGTTTGCCTGAGTCCCTCCCACCAGCGCCACCGGTGGCAGTGGGGAATGCTAGCTCTGCCCAGAGTGGTGGAGCCAGGGCAGACCACAGCCGGCCCCATCGGGTGCAGGGCCAGCTCTCACCTGATTCCTGGAGCAGCCGGAGGGCACGGTTCTCAGAGAAGGACACCATCTCATAGAAAGCCTGGCCTGGGGTGCCGGGGCTGGAGAAGCCCCGGAAGTGGACGCTCTTACAGTAAATGACCATATCGGAGAGCTCCTTCACTAGCCTGAGCTTGTCCTCCTGGGGGCCACGGGGAGGCCCGGGTTAGACTCAAAGGTTGGGGCAGGTGGGCACTGAGAGAGCCAGGAACCCAGGCACGGAGAGACAGGGAGAGGGAGACAGACAGAGAGAGGGGGGCAGAGGATCTGAGTGGCAGCTACAGAGAATGGGAGACAAGGCAAGCATCCCACCGGATGAGAGGGGCGATGGTGGGGGAGGGCCCCAGGGCTGCCCTCCCCACAGCTCCCCCTCGAACCCTGGGCTTGTGCTGCACTCGGCTCTTCACCGCCTCGTCCTCCATCTCGGCAGCCTCATCCTCATCTGACACGACAGTGGCCTCAGGGCCACCTTCCACACTGAGGGGTAGGAGTCCCCCTAGCTTCTTCCCCTTCAGCAAGATCTTCCCCTTCAGTTGCTAAGGGTGGAGGGCCAGCTGGTCAAGACCAAGCTGGCCTCCCAGCCACACCCCCTGACCTGTTATCTGGGGACCCCAACCCGCTGTGCACCTCAGGGGAAGGCAGGCTGGAGGTGGCACCTTCCAGCGGGTGGTCCAACAGCATAGAGCCCAGAGTATCATGCAGGTGTCGCGCCATCACGCGCTGCTGCTCCAGGCTGCAGTGGTTCTCCAGGGACAGGATGACGGGGTACGGGGACGCCTAGATATCCAAAGACAGATTAGGAGGGGGTGGCCACCCCTAGCCTCCCCCTCCTCACTCCCTATGTGAGCAACCACCTTGAAGGCATAGTCCCGGATGGCCCTGAGCACGTCGCAGAAGAGGATCTTGGAGGTGAAAGTGTAGCCGTGGTAGATGATGGGCTCCTGGTTGGGGCCATCCCAGCAGTCCAGCTCCAGGCAGCGGCAGCCTTTGCACAGCGCCCTGGGTGCACAGAGTAGAGCTAGGACCCTCCAGGTCCCGCCCCCTCCACCCGCCCAGCCTGGCCCGGCCCAAGCCCCGCCCCTGCCCAAGCCCCGCCCCCAGGCCCTACCGGATGTAGGCTTCGGTGCTGCTGGGCCCCCTTAGCTGGTCTTCCAGCAGGTAAGTGTTGTGCGAGGAGGACACCAGGTAGTGGCTGAGCGGCTGGCCCATGTCCTGGTAGACCCGCCGGTGCGCCAGGTTGAAGGCACTGCCGTCGGCCGACAGCAGGTACATGAGGAAGCCGTCCTTGGTCATCTGCCTCTGTGCTTTGGCTGGGAGGGAGGAGGCGGAGCCAGTCAGAGCCCTCGGCTGGCCTGCCACCTCCCGGGGCCCTGTCTTCTTCTCTGCTGTCCTCCACACTGCGAGGCCCCTGAGGACTGGACCTCCCCCGGGGTTGAGCATCGGGAAGGAAGGAGGGGAACCGTTTGCCTTTCCAGCCTCCTCTCTCCCTTTCCTGCGGGAGGGTCCTGAGGGAAGGAGTGGTGCAGGCGCCCTGTCTCCCCCTGCCTGCTTTCATGGGACACACAAATACTGACCCAGGCCCTGAGGCTGGCTGAGGCGCCCGGTTCCTGCAACTCCCTACTCTCGGGCTGCAGTCCCCCCAGGAGTCTCCCAGCCCGGTGTGGCCAACCCCTCACCTTTCTCGCTGGGCTCGTAGCGCTCGATGAGGGACAGGGCCAGCGCAGGCCCCGCCGCCTCCTCCCGCTGCTGGTGCTGCAGGAACCTCACTAACTGATCCACCGACAGGGTCTCCCCTGAGCCTGCAGCCTCCGCGAACGTGCGGTCGATCTCCTTCCGCTGGGTCAGCATCTTGTAGAAGGCCTCGATCTCCTCATCCTCCAAGGAGTCGGTCTGGGAGTGGTCACATTCCTGCAAAGCCAGGACAGCCCAGTGGGCAGGCTCAGAGCAGGCCCACAGGTCCAGGACCTCACTGCCAAGGCTCCCCTCAGCCTCACCCTGAAGATCTTGCGGGCGTAGCTGTCATCCACCTGGATGTTGAGCTCCTTCAGGAAGTTCTGCAGCTCCTTGAAGCTCATCTTGTTATCCTTGTTTTTGTCAGCTTTTCGCAAGCAAGAGTGAATCCAGCTGGGCAAGAAGTAAGGAAAGAACCCAGGGACCCAAGTACCCCCACGGCCCCAGCCAGAGTGGTGGTTTGAGCCCGGGCCCAGGTAGACTGAGCCTACCTGTAGACACAGCCACCTGTAGACACAGCCCCCTGCAGGCCTGACTTGGCGGAATCCAAATTTCAGGGGCAAGACCTGGCTGCCTCTTGAGAGGAAATGTTACATCCTAGTACAGGGCCTTTTTTCTATTTGCTGGCTTTGAACGCTTTCAGATTTAAAAAAAAATTCTTTCTATAAAAGGGTTTATTGTAGACAACTTAGAAGATGAAGAAAAATAAACAAATCCCCCAGAGACCCAGGGATAACCCTGTTAACATTTCAAGATATATCCTCTGGTTTTCAACACCCAGTTGTGAGCCAACTTGACTATAGCACTTGAGGCTTATTTTATAGGAAATAGCAAATTTCAAGCCACTGATCACATTATCATGATGGGGCACTTAAGCCTCCACTTCTCTCTTACCTCTATCTTCTCCCCTCGGCCTTGCCCTTGAGCACTAGATAGTTAAAATGTCAGAGACTAGGTGTTGCATTGAAGCAGGCGACTCCCCTCAGCCTCCCCACTCCATGCTGGTTACAGACAGGGAAGAGGAGAACATCAAGGGGCTGTACCTCCCCTGCTTTTCTTCCACTATGGGCTGAATTACATTCCCCCAAATTCATGAATTGAAGCCCTAACCCACCATATGATGGTATTTGGACATGGGGCCTTCGGACGTTTAGATGAGGTCATGAGGACCTACGTGATGGAATTGTGCCCTTATAAAAGGAAACAGCAGAAAGCTTGCTCTCTCTCTCTCTCTGTCTCATGTGCAGTCTCTGTGCCATGTGAGGACGCTGAGAAGGCAGCCGCCCTGAAGCTGGGAGAACTCTCATCAGAACCCAACACTGCTGGCACCCTCCTCTTGGACTTCCAGCCTCCAGAACTGTGAGGAAACTAATTTCCGTTGTTTAAGCCCCCCAGCCGGTGCTATTTTGGTGTGATGGTCCGAGCTGAGTGTCTTCCATACCCAGGTTGGCCTGGGGACAACCAGAACCAAGTATCCACAGGCCGGGCCTGGTCCCACTGCCACCAGAAGGATACTGCTGCAGCTTCTGCTGCTGGTCCATGTTGCCGGAGTGATGGATGATCTTGCGCAGACCCTGCACCCAGTGCTGGGCGTCAGCTGGCGAGGAGGCAATGAGGTCTAGGGTGTTGCGCTGATCCTTAAAGACGATGGAGAAGCAGCGGTCCTCGGGCACGTCCCGGGCAAACTTCTCCAGGCCCTCTGTGCGGTGTCCCATCCGTACCTCCTGAATGTCCTCGACGGAGACTGGAAGAAGGGGATGGGGGGCAGAGAGAGGCATGGGGCCAGTTCCCGCCCCAGTGCGGTCAAGGCCACAGTGGAAGGGGACGCAGTTTAGAGACAGAGGCGGTGCTGGAGCTCTGGCATTGATCCAGAGAGAAAGGATGGGGCAGGAGGATGGACAAGGAGGCTCAGAGGAGGGAGACAGAGACTGAGGTGGAGAAGGAATGTGAGATACAGCTGCAGTGGGCAGAGGGAGCACAAACAGGAGTGACAGAGAGAGAGGGCCTGGCTTCAGGGGGGAACAGGCGCCTGGGGCCCCAGACCTGCTGCTTCTGTGCTGCAGGGGGCAGGCCCCTGGGAGGTGACTGGGGCAGGGCAGCGCTCTTAGAGAGACTGTTCTGGATGGAGCCTGGGGCCTGTGACCGAGAGGAGGCCACACCCCCTCCCGATTGGACTTGACTTTGGACTGGTTCTCCCCTCGGACAACAGGTGTCCAGAACTCAGGGAGCCCCTTGGCAAGGAGGGTGCAGGAAGGCTCTGCACCCTCCAGGATCTCAAGAGGCAGGCTGGAGTATGCCTATTGGAGGTTTGAGAGATGACATCATTTGGCCTTTAGGAGCTATAGGGAGGGCCCTGGAGTCAGATCCCAGTGTTCCGAGCTTCAGGGAGCAGCAAGGCCCCGCCTCCCTCCCTAATCCCCAGTGCGTCCTCCCTGATCTTACTAGGAGCCAGTCCCACCAGGCTCTGTGCCAGCCCCACCTACCCCCATCCTGAGCCATCCACGTCCATCTGTCCTGGGTCCTAGAGCAGCCCCTGGGGGAAGCCCGCCTGTCCCTCCTGGTGCCTGCCCACACCCTGAGTGCCCCAGAGCCTCCTGGCCACCTGCAGGCCCCACGTGTGCCCAGCCCAGGCAGCAGGCTCTGCAGGGTAGTGCACATGAGCCCGGGGCCATGTAGAGTTCAGGGGATACCCCTGTTAATCCCTCTGCCCGCAGCCTCCCGTGCCCCACCAGGCCCCACGCCAGCTGCAGCTGAGCCAGTGGGAGTGGAAACAGGAAGCCTGAGCCCTGGAGCTGCCCAGCCAGCAGCCCGACCCGCACCAGAGAGAAAGTCCAGATGCCTTCACTACTGATAATGCCTCGTCGGCCTCTGGGAACCAGAGTTGGGGGTGGGGATCAGGGGACTGGTGGTGGCAGGGTCAGGGGAGACTTAGAAATCGTGAAGAGAGGGAGTGAGAACTGGGGTGGGAGTGATCCACTACTCCCTCACCTGACCTCAGGTTCCCTGAGGGTAGAGTTCAGTGGAGGACAACAGTCTCACTCTCTCAGAGATGGAAGCAGCCAATGCGCAAGCAGAGCCTAAGGCCAGTCTCAGTGGCTCTGACCTGGGAGAGAGCCTCTCAGCCAGGGTCCTCACCTCACACCTCTGACCTTGGCCTGTCACCCCTGTAACTGCTCCTGTCGGGGTACAGCCCCCTCACTCACATTCCTCCCTCGTCCTCGCCTCTGCACCTTTCCCACACTGGGTCTGCTGTGTGGAAGTCCCCTCCTACCCCTCTGCGCACAGCCATCCCAGTACGAGGGTCTCATCTCACCAGGGCAGGTCTGGGAAGGCCTGAGTCTCTCCTCCTCTGCTGCCCCCACGCTCAGCCCCAGCAGGTGCCAGACACACACTGGGACCATTCACACGGACTGGCTGGTGGGTCCGGGGGCTCAGAGTGCAAGACAGCCTGTTCCCACGGTGCCGCCACCTGCTGGCATCTAACAGGAAACTCCCTATCAGCGCGGAGGCCTGTGCAGGAGCCTGGCTGGTGCCAGAGAGGCAAGGTCGGGGTCACATCCACTGAGGGGGTTTTCTAATCGCCCTTCAGTTTCCATGCCCTCTGACCCTACGCTGTTCAGAAGCCTCCCATGGGCCACAGCCCTGGCCCAGCACTCCCCACCTGACCCTTTCCCTGTCCTGCATCACCTCCGGCCCCTCCACAGGCCACAGGTCAGCAGGCCATACCTTCTTAGGTTTCTGCCTGCTGTCCCAAGGCCCAGCAGACCCATCCTGAGGTACCCTCCATGAGCTGGCTCTCCTCTTCCTCCTGTCCTCCTCCTCCTCCTCCTCCTCCTCCTATCTGGGACCTGGTCTCATTCCCTACAGGCCTGCTGGCGAGCTGACCCAGCCTGCCCCCAGAAGCAGGTGAATGGGCGAGGGGTTTCCAGAGGTCTGGGCTCCGTGCAACCCAGCTGCAGTGATCTCACTGCACCATCCAATACAACAGACACTGGCCACATGTGGCCACTGAAATATCAATTCATGCAAAGTCACTAACGTTAGAAATTCAGCTCCTCAGTCACTGTAGCCACGTTTCAAGTGCTCAGTGACCATGGGCGGCTGGTGGCAGCTGTATCAGGCAACACAGATACAGAACATTTCCATCAACACAGGAAGTTCTCTTGGATAGCCTTGGTCTGAAATTTTCCCATCAAGTAAAGGCACAGAGTAGGCCTCTCATTCTGCAGAATTTTAAGGGCATTCTTGCATTAAGGGCACCAGCCATCGGAGCTTCCTCCCTAAGAGATTGGAGGGAACACACTGCATTTGCAGGCCTGGGCCTTGGGATCCTGGGCCCTGTCTGAAGCTTCTGGGCAGCCCTCAGACCCACCCCCTTGGGGCTGCTACCCAGCTGAGGCCTCCCTCTTTGTGTCCTAGCCCCACTCTCCCTGCTTTGGCCCCAATGCCAGGGAAGGGCTGCCTCCTTCCGGCCCCACCTCACATCCTGGCCACTCATACCCAGAAGGGCCTTATCTGTCCCGACTTTGGGCTGGCTTTGGCCTCACCACACCTGGAGTCCTGGTCGGCCAGCTTCCCTGCTTCCCACCACTGCCTGCGCCAATACCTGAGTTCACGTAACACTGTCCAGCTCCCTGCCTACCTCTGAGCCTGCTTCCCCTATCTGTGGCCATGGGTATGTGCCCCTAAACCCCAGAGTCCTCAGCATCTCCATCTGTCACCCTGGGTCCGTGACTGCCCTTTCCAGCCCAGACCAGAGCTCAAGTTTAACTGACTCCTCTCCCAGACGCCAGCCAGCTTCAGTTTCCCCCGGTCTGGTCCTGACTGCACGACTGAGCTATGCCCCACCAGGCAGGGACTCAGTTTCCCTACCTTTGATCCTGGTCCGTGACGGACCTCCACCCCCAGCCAGCACCAGTGCCCCCACCCAAGCATGGGTTGCAGACTCTGCCTCCAACCCCACCACCCCGGGGCACTCACACAGCTGGGACTCTGGGGTCCGCATGACCTTGCGGGACTCCTGCCAGATGGTCTTGCAGTCTTCCTGCAGCTTGTAGAAGCGCTCTCTCCGCCATGAGTTGGACTTCACCTTCAGGAGCTGGCTGCCCTTCAGCAGTGCCTGTAGGTCCTTGTCATCCTGTAGGCCTAGGGGGCGGAGCTGGTAAGATGCCACCTCTTCCAGTGTCCCAGCTGTCCCAGACCCCACGCCAACCACACCCACTTCCAGACCCTCTCAGAGCCCACTTTTCACCAGCCTCATCCTCAGCTCCCAGTTCACTTCTCCCTCCTTCAGCCGTGCCCCAACCTGCCCCGCCTCCACCATGAAGTCATCTGTGACTGCCAGCTGAGGCCATGTGAACCTCAGGGTGCCTACCTACTCAAGGCCACACTTTACACAGTGAGCTGCTACCCACAGCTGACCTAAGAACACCAGTCCCCTGAGGGCCAGACCCCTAGGAAGCAGCCTGGCTCTGAAGACAAGTGGGGCCCCTCCTGGTCACACTTAGGGGTCAGAGTGACTTAAAGGAAGCTGGGACCAAAACATCAGGCTGAGCAGGAAAGAAGAAAGACAGACTCTGATAGAAATGGACTCCAGAGCATCACAGAGCACAGCAACCTCACAACTCCAATGGCTACGGAATCACCTGTACCTAGGTCCAGTCCCCCTCCTGACTGACTGTGTCACGTGGGCAAGTGACTTCATGTTGCAGCTCCTCTATCTGTAAACTGAGGATTAAAAGAGCATGGCCCCTCACAGGGAAGGTCTGAAGTTAAATGAGATGATAGATGATTCTGGAGAGGTCTGAGGTAGGAGCAGGTCTAGTGCTTGGTGTCAGCACTGTAGTTACTGTGGGGCCCTTGTGCCCATCCCTGCTACCCTCACCACTGCTGTCCCCACCCCTGACTTGGAACTGCTGGAGCAGGTCTTGTTCCCGGTCCCCAGGAGAGACAGATGAGCCCACTGCAGCCTGCGTCTGGCCTGCTGGGATGCCCCTGTCCCTCCTTGCCCACCCCATCTCTGAGTGTCCTAGGTCCAGGGCCCCTCTGGATATAGCAGCCCTACATCAGAGTGCAGCCCTTTCAGAATCTGGGGCGGGGTTTGGCCCAGCTCACAGCAAGGACAAGAACCCTGGCAGCTTGGCACCCTCTCTTGCGGCCCTCAGAGACCCTGGCTGGCCTGAGGCGTGGGCTCCCAAAGATATGATGCCCTTTGTCCTACCAGGCCCAAGCAAGAGGCACCAAAGGGATGCTAGGCCTGGCTCCCCAAAAGCCCTCACCCCCGAGCAGACCCTGTACCAAGTGTGATCAAAGAGAGACCCCCCCAACTTCAACAACCCATCGCTGTAATACAAAGAGATGCACCCAATAGCTGTATCTGCACATATTGCTCTGAATCTGTGTCTCCGTGTTTCTGTAAATGTTCAAGCCACGTGTTGTCCAGCATCCAGCTCTGCTCAGAGCTAGCTGGCCATCTCATCTCATGTCTGACACCAAAACTAAAATTATGTGGCCTCGGCAACCTTTATCCTCTGCTGCAGCAGAGTGGTGGCATCAGAGGACCGCGTGGGGCCAGTCTGAGGGGCCTGTGCCCAGACCTATAGGCTATTCTTTCCCGAGCCCAGATTCCCCAACTCCTTGTGGCCTTTGCCACTTTGTCTTTGTCTCCCCACTCCCTAGCCAGCCCCACACACCCACAGGAGCCACAGGACTTTCTGCACCACTTCTGTAAGCCTCAGTCACCACATCCTCTTTTCCCCTTGCCAGTCTCCCGCTTCCAGTGGGGACAGAGCCTGGGGAGGCAACTCCCTTCCCAGTCTGCGCCTCTGTTCCCCCATCAGCGCCCGGTGAGAACAGGGTGGCAGGAAGTGCCTCTGAGCCTCCTCAGAGGTGACATTCTGATGTGACCCTCCCCCATCTTTGTCCCAAGTCTCTCCACTCCAGGAGACCCCTCTGCCTTGATGTGAGCAGTTCCCCTTCAGCCCCAGGGGAAGCCCAGTGGAGAGGGAGGGGCTCTGGCAGGATGTCCTAAACTGTCGGCTGCGCCCACCCAGGGAGCTCAACACCAGAGGAAGGGGAAGGGCGTCCCCAGGCTGCCCGAGGAAAGAGTTCCCAGCCTCTGCTGGGGATCCCGCAGTCCTTTCTGAGTCTGAAGAGCAACAAGGAGAGGTGTCTTACACTCGGTCGCCCCCCCCGCCCCGGCTGACCACCCCCAAACTGGGCACACACTAGGGCAAGCCACTGCCCCCAGCAGAGATGGGAATGGGGCAGGGCTTGGAAAGTAGAAGGTGAGCCCCACCCTCCAGTTCTGGAAAACACGGTGAGGAGATGACATGTTCATCCTGTCCTGGAGCCAGGCTGTGGCCCTGTCTGCAGTCAGGCAGAGATAAGCCCCTGGGCTGCCCGTGTGGCTTCCGGAACACAGGCCTCTGTCCCGCAGTAGGCATTGATAACCACGGCCCTCTGGGCCACTGGGAAACCTGGGGAGGCACCTCCACCTCGGAGCCTCCTAGGACGCCCCTTTGTTTCTCAGCTTTTCTGGGCTGCCCGCTGCACCACCCAGAAAGTATGGGTCCACCTCGCCCAGCCCCGCTGACTGGGCGGTAGCACCTTCTCCTGTGGAAGGGTGGTGGTTAGAGGCCTTCAGCTCAGGGGCCCCTAAGCAGGCCAGCTGCACCCAGCACGGTGGCCCTGGGGAGGCTGTGGAGGGTGCTGCAGGTGCTGGTAGGCAGCTGAGGGGGACGCTCGGAATCCTGCCCATGCACCTGGGGTGATGCATAATGGGGACAAACCGGGCCTGGGGCCCACCGCAGTACACAGCCACGCAGAGATGAAGTCACACACAGCCTGGAAGAGACAATGAGCCACCCAGTAATACACATTGTTACATGGAGTCACACACAGCCACACCATGTACAGTGCCTTATCATAATGATGATAATAATAGCATCCACCATAATAGTTAATATTTGAACAAGATACTGTTCTTAGCACATGTATTTAATCTCCCCAACAACCCTATGAGGAAGGCACTGTCACCATACCCATTTTACAGATGAGGGAATGGAGGCTCAAGGAAGTTAAGTAGTGGAGTCAGGACTCAAGCCTGTCCACAGGGCCAGTGCTAGGAAACATTACCCGATGCAGCCACCACTCAACAGCATATGGCCACAAGAAGTAATGTCAGAAAACATGTACCACACACATGTCATAACAAAATAACAGAATCTCCTGGGTCACCCCCATCACATCTGTCATGCACAGTGCCCAGCAACACACGAGACTACACACTCTTGCAGATCATCTCACTGGATTACAGTCATACCAGTTCCGCTGCTGGCCTCATTAATCTATAAAGGGGGTGGAGTGGCAAGGAGCAGGGAGCCTTGGAGGGACTGAAGAAGATCCAAAGGGGTAACTAATCCCCTTGGTACTCACCCCACAGGCCATCCCTGCAAACGCAGCCCCACAGAAGGTCACAGGTGCACAGGAGTACTGATCAGGGATGGAAGGCAGGACCCCGAACTCAGGAACATATATATAGTCTGTACCCTGACCCAGCTGCCATCCCAGCCTCCACAAATCTCAGTGTTCCCTGCGACCCTTACCCATCCTCTGCCCATTGAGTGCGGCCACCTTGAAGCTCTGCTCCTGCAGGTAGAGCTCTCTGGAGCGGCTGCGGCTCCGGCCCCAGCTCGGGCCCCGCTGGAACTGCATGATACTCCACAGTGCCCCGACCACCCGCTGAGTCTGGCCCAGGACAATGCAGGAGTCTCCAGATGCCTGACAAAGCAGGGAGCAGGGCCCGAGAGCAGGCGTCGGGGCGGAGCTAGAACCCAGTTGGAGGGGCGGAGCCTCATCCATAGAGGCGGGGCGAGAGGGAAATCTGGGCTGAAAGGGGCGGAGCCAGTCCCAATGAGCCAGTCCCAGAGGGGCTGGACTGACAACCCCTGGAGGCGGGGTGAGAGTGGAATCTAAGCGTGGGGAGGAGGAGCCAGGAGCGGGCAGCGGTTAGGAACAAATCCGTAAGCCAGGAAGCAGATTGGTAGCGAAAATCAGAACCCAGAAAGTGGGTCGAGGTCACTGCCAGAGAGGGAACTGCCGGGCCTAGGAGGCGATGCGGAGAAAGAACTCTACCTAGGAAGCCGAACCTGGGGAGGGTGCCTCCCTGGAAAGGCTGTATTCGGCCGAGACAGGCGGAAACTCGACTTTGGAGGCGGTGTAGGGGCGGAGTCTGGCCAAGAGGCAGAGCCTGAGCCTCGCTTCTAAAGACCAGATTTGGGGCCGAAGGAGGACGCTAAGGGTTGGGCGAATCAGAGCTGAGGAACGGCGCTGTGCGGGAGGGCCCGCCGCGGCGCCAGGGCTGCAAAGCCCAGCGGGGAACGGGATGGAGCCTGTGCCAGACAATCTAGCCAACCAAATATTTTACCAAATTTACTCAAAGAATTCATTGTGACTCAGCTGGCTGTTGCCTCACTTGTGAACCTCAGGCAGGCCTGTTTCCCCACCTGAGTGGGTTAATTTCCAAGGTTCCGAATGCGAATGGAATTCTTGGGGTGGGGAGGGAGCTGTTCTTAAAACGAGTTCATTAACGCAGGCTTGCTTTGATAAATAGATGAGGACTACTGCAACTTTATCCAAACTGTGCTGCCAGTGTGCTCAGGAACAGTGGGACCTTTCATGTAAGTTACAACTTCTCTTTCACCCAGCAATTCTTTATTGAGCCCCTACTGTGCGCCAAGGTCAGGACACTGCCTGCTCCAGGCCTGACTCACTCTCCTCTTACTCCCCGCCTCTGAATAGTTCCTCCATTCGCCTCACTTCAGCTCCAGCCACCAGCTCTGACAGTGAGTCACTGGCAAAGCCGGCATTAGCACAGACAAGCAATAGTAATAAACTGAAGCACACAGTGACTTGCCTAAAGTGGTATCACATGGAGTAAATAATGAGAACCAGTGTTAGTGTAGATGAGCTGAAACGTGGGCACAGACAAGTTATTCATTTGGAAAGGGGCGGGGAGCAGTGTGTCAGGGGAACCTCTGTTTCAGAGAAACCATGCTAGGGTTTTTAACTGGAGGACCAAAGGCAGGAACAGATCTCAATGTGATTTGCTTCCTCTGAATCCCGATGCATTTTATTGTGTGCATTTAACAACGTGACCCTAGCCCTGGCTGGTGTAGCTCAGTGGATTGAGCGCGGGCCTGCGAACCACACGATCTCGGTGTGATTCCCAGTCAGGGCACATGCCTGGGTTGCAGGCCGGTTCCCTGCAGGCCAGTCCCCAGCAGGGGACGCACAAAAGGCAACCATACATTGATGTTTCTCTCCCTCTCTCCTTCCCCCCCTTCCCCTCTAATAATAATAAAAAAAAATTTAAAAAAAAAAAAAAAAAAACGTGACCCTGAGAAATGGTCTGCAGGCGGCTTCGCCTAACTTGGCATAAAAAAGTTGTGAGTCAGTGGGTGCCTGTGTGGTGCCTGTGTGGTGTGGGCCTGGAACCCCAGATTGAAACATAATTGAGGTGGGGAGGGGGCTGGCCACCCCAACCTGCTAAGATGGTTCTGGAACCTTTGGGGATACTAGGCTTTTTATGCAACCTAGAGCTCCTATGCCCATTGGTGCTTTATCCTCACATTTTCTGTGAAATGGGTATTACAATCCTGTGGGTGAAAAAACAGGCCCAGGGAGGCAAAGGGGTTTGCCAAGGGTCACAATATAAGGCAAGGGCAGGTCTGGTGCCCAGGCCTCTGGAGACCAAGGTAAAGCCAGGTCCTCCCTATAGCCTGCCTTCCACTTTTACAAATGCCAGTTCTACAGCACAGCAGGAGGGATTAGGTAGAGGAAGTTAGTGGGGGGTAAAGTGTTCAGTGAGGACAGAGCCCTGGGAAGTTATGTCCTTTCAGGAACAACTGGGGATCTGCTTGAGAAGCCAGTGCAGCCCTGGCCAGAACAGAGAAAGCAGAGGAAGTGAGTGAGGAGGAGGCTGGGGGCCTGGAACATCAGTCAGAGGGCTTCAGACTTGGGAAAGGGCTCCTTGATTCCCAAGCCCAGTTCTAGTCATTTATTTCTGGCTAGGGACTACCTAATGGCATACCCTCATCTCCCAAAGGACGAGGCAAGCAACTCACAGGGCATGGTCACTTGGGGGATAGGCCTCCTGGGGCAACCCGGCACAGGCTGGGTGCCAGGCACTGTTCTAAATGCCTTATGGGTATTACCTCATTCAGCCCTCACAGCAACCCTATGAGGTAGGTAGTGTTCTTATTCCCCTTTTACAGACAAGGAAATGGAGGCACAATGAAAGCAAGGGATTTGTCTGAGATGAAAAATTCGAGACATAACCTTGAAAATTCACCAGAATTCATGCTGTTATACTATGCTGCCTCTGCGTGCACTTGGGGGTAACGATAGAAGGGACATTTCCTATCCAGTGGCCCCCATAGTTCACCAGGCCAACAGAGGGGGCCTTTCTGTAGCAGACCCCGAGCTGCTGAGCCAGAGAGCATGGGCCAGCAGCACGTGCCCAGCGCTTCGGGACCCGAAATGTAAAAGGGGTGCGGACTCTGATGAAAGTGTAGACAACCCAGGACAGCCCAGGACACAGTGACCACCGTGTCCCACCACCAGTTCCCTTCAACTCATTCTTGCTTCTCCGTCTGCTTTGCAGCAGGGACAAAAGGCAGTCAAGGGAAGTAATTTGGGGTGATGAGCTAGAACCGGCAGGGCCTCCAGGCAAATGGCCCAGGATGGTAGCGTTCATGAGAGCCCTGCAGGAAGGGCTGGACAGAGTCAGACATGCGGGAAGCAGGCCTCAAACAGGACGGGCCGGGGTCACCAAGACCCTGCCACAGGCCTGGGAGGCAGTGGATGAGCCTCTGCCTAGCTTCCTCTCAGAAAGATTCCAGGGAGGTCAGGGGAGAGAGACTGAACAAAGGCACAGGTGCCTGACGATGGAGCCCATTCCAACAGGAGCTGAAGCTGCAGCCCTCGGGCGACCAGAGGGCTTTTAGGTGGTCTGACATGTGAGGTAGGCATGACAGAGGTGTCAGTGTGCTGGGTAGACGGCACTAGCTAAGGGACAATGAGAGAAAACAGAGGTCTCCAGTGCGGTCCTCTGAGCTCCCAGTGTTCTTCCTGCCAGACTGGCAGGAGCACTGGAAGGAGTGGGGAGCCTATGACCCAGTTGGATGAGGTTGCCTCGAGGAGCCCAGGCTACTGGTATGAGGGTGACAGCTCTAGGCACTGAGCAAGGTCTCTCTGGGCCTCCCAGACCAGGCCTGGGCCACCTGGGAAACTACTGGGACTGGCAGATGAGAACATCTCTGTGCTCCTGAATTCCAGGAGTTTCTAGTGGGCAGCTGTAGGGCTCTGCATTTCTCTTTCCCAACTGTTATTTCTATGCATGGTTTAGAAGGGTGGGTAGTGGGCACTAAATTCTCTAACCCTAAGGATACTAGGAGACCAAGGAAGATAGGATTAGGCAGTGATCGATGTGAGAGGGGTGGGGTTTCCTGAGCTGACAGATGATTAGGGGGTGGGGACAGCAGGGAAAGCTCTCTGAAAGTAGGTGAATCCCCCAGGCTGGAACAAAGAGATGCCAGGTCCTGCTTGGGGGTCCCATCCAGCCATAAGACCTCCAGGCGCTACAGTCGGGAGCCCGCGGCTGCTTTCCCTCCTGAAGAGACAGCATTAGGGCGAGGAGCTGGCCCAGACTCCGGTCCGGGTTGGAAGAGACAGAGCTCGGCTGGACAAAGGGTGGAAGCTCAGGCGTTTCCAGCCGAGACTTTGAGACTTGGCTCTGTCCCGCCAGGAGGGTGCGCAAATGGAGGGATCGGGCTGCCCGCCCGCCCCCCTCGCCGGGCATCGCGGACTATGACTTCTGCGCGGGGCATTTACAGCGCACCGCGCGACCTCCGCCAACCTTGCACATGTCCCGGCCCCACTCCCCACCCCCCGCCACACCCACGCGGCCTGACGCGGTCCAGGCACGCCTGAGGTTTGGGGAGCTTCTCCTGGCGGCCCGGAAGGGTGACAACTCGGTTACTCGGGGATGCTGGTCCCTCCCCGCCTCAGTCCATCCAGGGTCCATGCGTGCTGGACCCTGGATCCCAGCCTTCGGCGACCGGGATAAGAGGGAATCCCGGAGGCTGAGGGGACCCGAGGAAAGTGTTCAGGGAGGTCTTCAGACCCGCGTCCCTGACCCCTGCCCCCGGCCCCCGGTTAGATCTGGGGGACAGGACTGGAAACGCCCAGGGTCGTTCCCGGCAGTCCCACCCCGAGTCCTGGGCCGAGATTTCCCCAAAGCGACACAAGGGCCGAGGGGCGGGCCCGGGGCGGGGCGGAGGGCGGACAACGGCGCTGGGGGTCTTCCGCCCAGAGCCGGGCAGGCTTTCTGCAGGGTTGGCCCGCGCAGGGACTCGCGCGAGCCAGCTGGGCACTCACCGTGCAGGGTCAGGAAGTCCCGGCCCGTGTCCATGCCCGAGGTGCGGCGTGGCGGGAAGGGAACAGCGCGGCGGGAGCGAGGCGCCGCGGGACTCAAGTGCACGGCGACGAGGCGGGCGGCCCCGGGTTCGAGCGGAGTGCGGCGGAGACTCCAAAGGACTGCCTCGGGAGGAGGTCGGAGGTGGGCCCGCGACACCGCCCCACCCCTCTCCTTTGCGGGCCTGTGACCCCGCCCCTGTGGCCCAACCAACCCGAGTCTCTCCCGGCCTGGTCCGGGATCCGGAGGGAGGGCAGAGGTAGAGGCTGGGAAGCCAGCCTAGCCCGGGCCCCTGGCGGGTGGACGCGCCCCGGCCAGAAATAGCCAGATCCCTCCCGCTTCCTCCACCGCTGCCACCCACAGCCACAGGCCCTGTCATTACCAAGGGCGGTGCAGCCCCACGCCCTGCCTGTAGGCTCCTCTCCGGGGCTGGGGTGATGATCCGAAGAATCTGGCGTCACCCTGGGGATGGGACAGCGTCAGGTCTGACGCCCAGCCAGGCTGCTTCGAAAGGGAGCCTCTGCGTCCCAGTGTCCAGCCGCCGCTCCCCGCAGGTCTGATGTCCCTTCTGCAGAATGGGTGCACGAGTCCCGGAGAACTCAGAAAGGGATTCCTGG